TCATTGTTTGTCTGTCAATATAATCCAGATATGGTCTTATTTTAACTTTCTCTCTAATGCAGAGGTACTAGTGACTGTCTTGTCTAGTGTTATATAAGATCATTTTATAAAATTCCGTCACATGCAGATTCAGATATTGCCAGGAAAGAACAACCAAAGACTACAAAGCAACAGTGCTAGAACCTGATAAACTGATTAATGAAGTAGTTAAAGTAATTTAGCAGTCCCCCAAATATAAAGCAACAGGAGCTGATAGACTACCAATTATAGCATCAGTCATTCCCATGTGGATGCCATTTTTCATTATTTAAAGCACTACCATTGCTTCTGCCGGGGGGCCCTGAATATAGCCGGGACGTAGATATGGCCTAATGACTGAAAGGGGTTTCTCGGACCTCTCCATGGGTGATCCTCATCCGCATGGTGCCACTTTGTGTCACCTGGTGTTTGCCGCTTGTGTGATGTCCTGGTGGGGTAAAATTATTCAGTCAGACTACCAGCAGAAATAATTGAAGCAGCAGGTGAAAGCAACATTAGATTGCTCTACATTCAATGCGGCATGGGTACAACAAACTGTTCCCATTGCAACATGCTATAGTTGTACCATTGTGGAAGAAAAATATCGAGGCATCTCTCTTGTCATGTTTGGAAAATGTATGATAAGATAATAGAAACGAGGCTGCGACCAGTGATAGAACCACAGTTGACAGGACAGGTGTGTTTCAGAAGAAATAGAAGCTGCACAGATGCAATCTTTACACTTAAACACTTAACAGAAAAGAACATCGAATATGGTCAGAACTTATTTGAAGCATTTGTGGACCAGGAGAAAGCTTTCGAAAGGGTCGATAGACAACTATAAAAATTAATGGCTCGATTGAAGATTGCAAAAGCTTATATAGCGATTGTAGAAGTGTAGTTAGAATAAATCAGGAAACATCTAAAGCATTCAAAAATTACACCTGGAGTAAGACAGGGGTGTGGCTTATCACCACTCCTGTTTATCACTTACATTGACTGATAAGCAAGGATACCAGGCCCAGGAACGAAAATAATAGTAATATCAAAGAATTACTTTGCCGATGACCTGGCCTTCATTGCAGATACCGCCGTGAATTTGCAACAGCATCTCACATCCATCAATGATGAATGTAAATAAAATAATATGAGAATCAACATCAAAAAGACAGAAGTAATGTCAATAGAAAGAAAGAAGCAGGATTTTAAACAGCACTAGAGCATACAAACTATGCCCTTCAACATCTGCTAAAGTCAAAGTGTCTGTCTCGCAACACCAAGATCAAAATATATAAAACATTAATAAGTCCAGTCGTTTTATATAGCTCTGATACTTGGAGCACAACTAAAAGAGATGAAGCCTTATTGCAGGTTTTCTAAAACAGAGTCTTGCAACTAATCTTTGGACCCATCAAAGATGCATGCAAACAGCGGTGAATGAAGAGTGAGAAGCAACAACGAAATTCATATTCTGTTTAAATCACCACTGATCACTGGCATCATGAGAGCTAATAAACTGAAATGGTTGGGGCATATTGAGAGAATGTCAGATGACAGAGAAGTAAAAACTGTATACACGAGGGAGATGAATGGTCATAGACCACAAGACGATGGAGAGATAACATCTGGCCAGACCTGCAAACACTTGGTGTCACTAGCTGGAAAGAGAAGGCCAACCAGAGAGATGAATGGAGGCGGGTGATATCTGCAGCAATGAACCTCAAGGGCTCGGAATGCTTAAGAAGAAAAAGAAGACTAGAGCATACATATATTTGACAGGCATTTGAGTTTAAATACCTTGAAACAAAATTCACTGAAGATGGTAAACTGGACGAAGAAATAAACATCCGATGTAGCAAAGCTTGCCAAGCATTGGGACAAATAGCTCCCCTCTAACAGCATAAGGCAATCAATCAACACAAAGATTTATCTCATTCAAAGCAAATTCATTCCCACCCTACGCTACCTGGCCAGACGTGTTCACTCACAACAAAACTATAGAATCAGGAAATAGGTCACATGAGATGAAGTCGGCACAGAACCAATTCTAAAATACATACACAGATAACAAATCAAATGGTTTGCCCACTGGGAGAGAATGCCTTCTGATGCTATACCATACACAAAATATACTAAACGAGGAAAGGGATTTAGAGGAAGAGGTAGACCAAGAACAAGATGGGAAGTTAACACCAGAGAAACTCTACAGCACCAGGGGATATGTCTGTGGTCGAAGCAACCAGAAGAGCACGAAGCAAAACCGTATATCTCCATCGACATCTGAGGCGGTAAAAGAGGACAAAAAGAAGTAAAAAGAAGAAGAAGTATGCAGATTTGAAACCAAGACCTTTACACTTATAAATATTAATATAAATATTAATCAGAATAATAATTTTATTCAAACTGTCTTCGTTTATTTGTAAATTGCATTGAAGAGGCCGTTTAATTCCCTCTCTCTGCCACACCCCTCCCCTTTTTCGGTTCTCTGTCTCTTTCATTCACTCTCTCCTTCTTTTAATTCCATCTGTCTTTGTCACTTGTTCTCACTCTCACTTTCTGTCTATCTTTCTCTTTAACGAGTTGTCTTTTTGTCTGTTTTCCTCTTTCATTCTCTTACTCCATCTGTACTCATCTCTCATTTTTTCTAGTTCACTCTCTCTTTCTTTCTCCTCTATCTCTGTCTTTTATCCTTTTAGTTCTGTCTCGCTCTCCGTCTCCCCACCTATTTCCCTATCACTCTTTCTTTCAAGCTATACATTTTCATTAGGTAATTATTGTATTATTAAAAGACCAAAACCTTAAAAAGGTAAAAATGTGGCCCCTAAAAGGGCCTTTGTGTCAGAAGACTTATGCTATTCGCTACGGGGAACAGCAGGAAATCCTCCGAAAAGAATTCCCCCTGTTCCCTCTATGGGCCGGTGATGGCTTGCCCCTTCTCTTCCTGCTCTTCTCCGCTTTGACGCCCAGCTAAATAGCGGTTTTCGCTTACTTTTGGGCTTCGCCAGCTCTGGCGTTTCCTCGGGCTCAGTAAAATCCGTTGATGGATGTCCAAAATACTTGAAAAAAGGCATTCATGCTGAGCGTCTGGAGAGACATGGGACTTGTGAAGAGCTCGAAGACTTTCGGCCCCCTATCATGAATGGCGGCTATGATGTCTTCAATGTGCCGCTGTCTTAACAGAGCAGGGTTGGTATCTTCTTCACCAGCAACGTCACTTGTTTCTGAATCATTCAAGATGACATCAATAGCCGGCTCGGCTGCCGGCTCAGTAGAAGAAGGTGTTTCCAATGGCAATTCTTCTTCTTGTTTGTTGTCTGCTGGTTAAAGAGCTGGGACATCACCGGACTGCCCATCCTGAAGAATAATTTCAAAATTCTCAGTCTGTGTAGCTGTATCCACCTTGGCTAAATGGTAGCCACTGTCTTTTTCGATAAAACTTGCCCTTGCGTTGACTGGCAGTAATTTTCTTGTACACAGGAAGAGGTGTAGCATTTGATCTTCGTCAGTATATTCAGATTCGAAGGCTTCCATATTCACTTTGAAAATTCTCAGTCCGCGTATAAAAAGCTGGGTGCATCCAACCTTGGATCACAACACTGACGAGTTTGAGTCAATGAATGGATCATGCCCAATAAGCGGACCTCCTAGAGCAGACGTTCTTATCAAGATTCTTATGCTCTTATATGCCAGCGGAGCGTAGACAATTACCCAATTATCGCCACATTATCCTATTCTGTGGCACTCTTGCAGCTGCCCTTGTTTTCCTTTGTTTATTCACCTATCATTCTCCCCCCCCCCCCCCCCCCCCCCCCCCCCCCCAACATCCGTCCCCTCGTATTACCACTCAGCATTCAATGGTCGATGAATTGGTCGATAACAACACCGGCTGTCTTTACTTCCCAGGATATTTTCCTATACCAATTGTAGGTTTAGTCGATCTGGCACACCTATGACTTCTTCTTCTCCTCCTCCTCTTCCTCCTTCTTCTCCTTTGTCGTCGCCCTCCTCCTCTGCCTCTTCCTCTTTTTTCTCTTCTTCCTCCTTCTTATTCTTTCTCCTCCTCCTTATCCTCCTCCTCCTTCTTCTTTGTCATCGGCCTGTTACTCTTCTTCTTTTTTTTTCCTTTTCCTCCTCCTCCTCTTCATTTGCGGCTCCTTTTTCTTATCCTCCATGACTTTATCAAACATGCAGACATAAACACACACTACTTTTACAGCCATCCACACAAGCATGTTCCATGGACCTACCTACACAGGTATGTGCATAAATTCTTTTTCTCTTTTTTGTTTGTTTACCTTTAAACTCAAATCCAAGGTTTGGATATGACATGTTTGAAAACATATAGCAGTCAAATACATTATACATCTGTTGAAGGTAAATTATTTTTATACATCATCATTTTCCTAGGGCCAACATCATATGTGGCTTTACTTTATTATTGTCTGAGTGGTTGAATATCTTTGTGCCTAGAAAACAGCAGGTGGAATATGTGAAGAGGTTAATTGTAGAATAGCAAAAACTTATCATTTAACAATATGAAGAACATTTGTGTAAGCTGAGATGAGAAAGCATTTTAAGAATTATGTGGATGAGTGTCGGGAAGAGTCAGCAGGCCAGTGAAACATTATGATGTATTTTTACAAAAACATAATGAGAACATCAAAGACAAAAAAAAAAAAAAAAGATGTCTTGGAATAGGTTAACTCACAAAGAAAGCTGGTTACCTGCATCAAATAAAGATATTCCACAGCGCTTGGACACATCATGAGAAAGGAAAAAATTGGAGTATGCACTGAAAGTTGCAGGTAAAGGAGATAGGAGAAAACCAAGAGAGATGATGTCAGATGTGTTGATATCATGCCATGGAGAAAATCTTATAAAAAATGATTGGCGGTACAAGAGACAGGAAGCTGTATACAGACAGGATGACCAGTAACAAGAAAAAGAAGTGTGTTTACTCAGTTTTGTTGTGATTTTTGCAGATGAACAGGAGCGTATCCAGAAAAAAACATTTACAAACTGGATGAATTCTTACCTTTGCCAGGTAGGTGCTGGCACACAGTGTTTCCATGCATGTATCAGCCAGTTTAGAAAACAAAATTAGTGGTCAGTTTTGTAACTGAATAAAAGCATGTGTTAGTAAACTTGTGTGACTAGATGTCATGCCTGATTATTTTCAGGGGTTGTTTGGCAGTTAGGATAGGTAATGCCAGCTATTTCAATTCATATTAAAAAAAAAGAAATTCTTCACTATTATTTCATTAGAATAAATGTGATCAGGACCCATTAGGAGAAGGTGAAGAATATTGAGGTGCAAATAGATCATTTTGGTCTCGAAAAAATGGACCAACAGATAGTGACCAGGGGATCTGGCCATTTCTCTGCACCCATAGGAAAGACAAGACAGAAATATAGCAGTAATTAAACTGCTGCTGGTACCATTGAAATTGGAACTTATCGCTGGCTGCTGAAGATGAGGATTGAGAACATATGGGAATAGTATGGTCTGGTAATCTTAGTTTAAGCTTAATAGAAATCGGTTCAACCCATATTTGCTCCGCTCCTGTGCCAACGAAAAACTCATAAAATGTTCATCACACTCTCTTGTGAAAAATTGACAGACTGCTGTCTCAGCATATGCACTAGCATACACACGCATTAAAAGCATAGGGTAGCCATCGGAAGTGCTAACACAAACAGTCAGACATTAGAAATGCAGTTCATCATGGATGGTAGCAGAAGTTACCAACAGATCAGCAGTTGCACACGCGATCAATTCACATGGCACCACCAATATTACGACATCGCGCCATTTTCTGAATCTACAATTCACGCCAACACGTTGGTCACAGTAGAAAAACATTCCAAATTAAATCAGCAGCTCACAGTGTCACTCAGCTCAGAAGCTGGGTGACGAAACTATCCTTTCAGTCTACAAATGGCGCAAAATGCACCGGCCACCATCTATCAGAAGCAATAAACAATTTTTTTTAAGGCTCACATCAGTGACCGTGCCTAGTTTCCATTTTGACCTGTAGTGAGGGCTTATTAACGGTCACACCAGTAGTGCCCTCGTGCTGGGGAAGGGACCAGGGGCGTAACGCCCATCAGCAAGGTGTCGACCCTGTGCGACCTAACCGCCTTCGTTTAGGATTGGGAACCCACAACCATGCAGTTCTTTGGCACGAAGGAGACACCTTAAACTTGAGTTCTGGACAACCGACTCTCTACATGCTCACATGAGTGTGTTAATGGTGTACAAAAGTTTTCATGTTTCTCTCATATACCATTAGCAAATTGGATAGAGACTGCAAGACAACAAAACCGGGTCACTGTGGGGGCAGAAATTCAGGCATTAAAATTAAAGCATAAATTTATAAATAAAATACTATTGTCATGCATATATGCATACATACTCTTAAACATACTAGTATTAGTTGTGACAACAATTAAGAATAATTAACAGTTCACAAGCACTCACACATCAAAGTAAAGAGGGAAAGAGAGGTACATGTACACATGAGACCCAAAAAAAAATGTAGAGAGATAAAGAAGAGGAGGAGGGGAGAGAGAGATCACTAAATTACTAATTCCTTCAGGAGGAAAGTGTTTATCAATCAATGTTTCTGTACAGTAATCAACAAGTATTTGGTGTACGGCATCAAAATGTCAATGTTTTTATCTTGAGGACCCAAACAGATGCCGTCTCATACAGAAAATGTGACAGACAAGTCCGAACGTCGTTGATTCCTTGAATGTACTCATGTCTTTCTCCCATCCTTAAACTGTTGTGTGTCGGGCTCCTAGTGGGCCCAGAAAGTAAACTTGTACCTCTGGTGGCCTAGTGGAACGTCTTTTGACCAGTTTCATGTTACAGATGATAACCTTGTAGCTGACTGTGACATTGCGCGACCTCAAATCTGCTTCATATTACCACCTGTAACTGTCCTTAGCTGATTGTCATGGGGTAGGACCGTGTAGGATTTGAATGGGTGCCGAGAGACTAGCGTTCTCAGTCGGGAACACCCTCGGCTCCGTTGATACCGGCCCTATCATGTTGAGTCGTTAACTCCTTAATTGTCGAAATGGGCTAAGTGCTGTTGGCTCAGCTTAACTCATTTAGGCGAGTAGCTGCTTGATGTGACAGACGGGGATACTTGGCGGGTAAATTCGCTTTAATCTAGCGAATGCACTATGTGCAATCTACAGAATGAATCGCAAATAGTGAATCATCATAAAAGATTATATTTCTCTCACCCTTGCTGATTAAATGAGAGGATTCGGGGTTTGCCCACATCTGATTTCCTACTGTTATATAAATAGTGTACTTAAATGTTGTAAAGTTCACTGACACGAACGATTAGTTAAAATAAACTCCATAAAACTGGAAGGACAATTGAAAAAATCATAACATTTATTTGGAAAAGTCAAACTAATAATTAGACTGGCTGTGGAGATAAATAGGTCCTTGATTATGGATGGGGATATAGACAAATCTGTCCACTTAGCTGTAGCTCGTGTTCCTTTAGTTAGCTTCTAGCTCAGCCTTGATGACAGGACAGGCAGGTCGAATCTTCTAGTCCAGTCCAGACAATCGGGCATCTGCAGCTACACTGGAATTTACTTCTGGAACTCCACCTGGAACTAGAACAATAGAACAGGCCCTTTACAAGCAGTTTGGAAAGTTCTCACTAAAGACAACAGTACTTCCAGTCTTCATATACTGTTACACTGCACACACATATAGAGTAGGATAATCACAAGTGTTCACATTCTTTACTGGTACAGAATGGGAATGTAGACAGAACATCACTTTCATGAATACTTTCAAGCACAAGAGTCACACACTATGAAAGAACATTCATAAGTTTTATTATTCTGATGTCTTTACACTAGTACTCCTTTAAGGGGTTAACCTGCTTACACACACAGTCACATTTCACAATAGATTCTCATTTCAACCACATGGGTTCACATCACAAAGAACGAGAATCAGGGAGTGAGTTTACATGGGCCGGAAACTCATAACAGGTGCAAAAAATATTTTTGAAAATATATGGGGTTGAACATATCACAATCAATATAACTGGGTGCTGGGATATATGTCATAATACAGTCACAGATGACAATGGTCTTTCCATCTGTCAAAGTATTAACATAAAATATACAAAACTAACTCCAGTTTATATCTGAATTAATACAGGTGCTAAATCTTATTCAATAGAGTTTAGAAGTTTGGTAGGGTAAAATGTAATTATTAAAATTGCAAGGCCACCTGCTGTGGTACTGAAAACATATTGCTTGTAATGGGGAAATATATATACAACAATAATTATTACAAGCATGGGCCATTCACCTCTCTTCTTCTTCTCCAACAGTGTGAATATTAAATTCAGCCACCATGTGGTATTCACGTTTTTAAGCTCTTAAACTAGTCTCAGAACTATCTGGACTAAATCTAAATTAAAACAAGGAAGTGATTTATCAAGCTAATATCACCATGAGGTCAAATCAACCTAGTAAGGATTAGGTATAATGATTATACACTTCATTCCTTTATTAATCGTCTCACCATGCTAGAAATCGGGACTGGCCGAGATTTCACATGACATAAATTCTCACTTAATTAATATATTTACAATAATTAAAAATACCAATTTATGTTTCTAGTATCCGATAAACATTATATCAGTCATCAAATAGATCATATGTTTACATACATATACATACTTACTAGATCATAAACGTGGTTAGTTAGGATAAGGGAATTTATCAAAGATTCTCCTACCATGTGGGCATCAAATTTTATAGAGTTCCACAGGTAAAATTCATTCAGAGGAATTTGCAGCAATAGTTCAAATTAATATAATGCTATTCACTTACCCCTGGTAGGGAATTCAAACACACAATGGTGACTGCAGTTAAGACCACACTGTGGGTTATACTGAGTCATAAGCAGACAGAGAAACGTCTAGCTTACCATCTGTTTGAAAAGGAAGTAAAAAGCACAAAAAAGGGGGAAGTAACTCTGAGTTACTCCTTGCACTATTCATTGATCTCTTTCAACTATATAATTAATTAGGTAATAAAATGCTAATAAAAAGCAATAATGAACAGTTAGGAATTTAATAATTTAATAATATTGCTAATGCAAAGCAATACTTAAAGGGAAAGAAACAGCTGTCCAGACCAGCTCGTCACAGATACTAGAATGCATATTTCTAAAAGAATTGAAATTAAAGACATTAGTATGGTTAATCTTTCTCTCTGTCTATTCTTTTTGTCCTGTACATTAGTTTCTTACAAACAGACAAAATGCAGCCCGTACACACACAAGATATCCCTCTGTGTCATTCATGTGAAAATGACGTCACCGAAGTGTCAAACAGGATGGGTATCATTGGGTCTGAGTATCATTGTCTACTTGAAGCAGCATCCCGCAACAGAAGCCCCTTTAAAGCTTTCTGTAAGAATGCTAAGATCACTGTCAAGTTGGACAAGGATACCGAACTACCACCTCCTGGCTCCCAAGACTTCCACTGTTCTGGATGTCCAGATTGTGGCAGTGTCTTGTCAAGTACATGTGCTAAAAGTGCAGGCAACAGTAGTGTACTGACCATTAGTCTTGAGGACTCCAGAATCAAAGATTTCACTGGTCTGGATGCTGGGATTTCAAGGCACACATGGTCACTAGGCTTGACCCATCCCGTACCTATATTAAGTTCCTGAAGATGCTAAGGTGGTATTACTTAGGAATGAAGTTTCCACCAACCGCTGAGTTACTCCTATCACATCTTTCAAAGCGAAGAGTAATCTAATCCAGAGTGTTTGATTTCCCTTTTACTCTTGGCTTGTTCTGCGACAAGGTCCTTCATCTGAAGTTTCCCTGTAGTTTCAGCTCCCTGCCCAGAAGAAGTAATTTCTTTTGTGTTAAAGGCAAACAGTTCTGTTTGTCCATTTCCACAGTTCATTAGACTGACACACATTTCCTGCAAATCACGAGTTTCCTTGCCAGAATATTCTGTAAAGACCTCAGGAAAAATATTCAAGTTCATGCAATTGTGCTAGGCTCAGTGATTCATTACTGTCTGTCAGTCTAGTCCCTATGGTGTTGATGATATCTGTTCTGTCTATATACAGTACTTACTAGCTGGTCTGCTGATTCATTACTGTCTGTCAGTCTAGCCCCTATGGTGTTGATGATATCTGTTCTGTCTATATACAGTACTTACTAGCTGGTCTGCTGATTCATTACTGTCTCTCAGTCTAGTCCCTTTGGTGTTGATGATTTCTGTTCTGTCTACATACAGTACTTACTAGCTGGTCTGCTGATTCATTACCTTTTACTCTGACATTGGATATATACTGAAAAGGACACAGCACTCTGTTGGTACATGTACCCACTCTTGCCAGGTTCTTAATAATATGGTGCCATTTGATCAAGGCAGTATGGGTGTAAGGCCATATCCTCAGTACACAAGGATGACATTGAAACAAAGTTCCTGAAAAAAAAAAACACATGAGTTAACCTTTGCATCCTTTGACGTAGAGAAATGGTTATTCCAATATGGTGAAATTCTTGACTGTTTGGCAGTTACACTTCTTCAGTTATTTCTGTCATAATTTGAAAATATACATTTATCTCATAATACACACTACAGCTTAAAGCCAGAATTTGATTCTCTACCTCTCACTATGTTTAATAATATTTAATAAAAATAATAATATCTTGTGTCTACACTTTAGTTTTGAAAATGAAGAAGAGGGTGTTAATGAGATATGAGTGCATTACCTCATACATGTCTAAACATTTTTCATTCTGTTACACAGCGAGTCCCTCCTATCAAGGTGGAAAATCTGTTTGAAGAGGTTAAGGATGGAATTGTGCTTTTATCCTTGCTGGAGGTTTTATCAGGAGAACGACTGGTAGGTTATCATTTATGTAACAGAACGGTTATTATGACTCAGAAGGTAATCTTTTGCTGAAATTTTTGAGTCACACGGAACGCATCACGCGCTAATTTGTTACAACCGCGCTGCCTAGTCGACGCGTGACAAGTGAAGGTTTTTTAATCTTCCATTGATCAGTTACAAAAGGTGGACCGCTCAGTTTTAATATCCTTTCGAGTTCTTTGTGTCTGATATCAAACGTGCTTATTTAGAAATGTGGTTTAAAAGCCGAAAATATAGTATATTTGTGAGATTTGCAGAGGTACTAAATGTTTGTTTAAAAAGAATATCGCTGCCAAGGAGTATTCTACATGAATGCCAACACGATTTACGGCTTTAGAAGACTAAAATTTAAATAAAGTACGTGTTTATTCAATTTTTCTGAAGTTAGATAGATAAAGTTGCGAATTAGACGTGTTTTAGTCATTTATAGAGTGAAACTTTTATGAGGGATATGTCTAATGTGTACTTCACGCAAAGGGTACAACGATAGCAAAGTCAGCTGGAACAAATAGAATAAACATTAGTGAAAAGACAATTTTCTTCAGTGTCAGTTAGTTCTAGTGCTATTCCCCTTATTATTTAGGAACATTCATTCATTCATTCAGTAGCATGTCCCTCGCGGAACCTCGCTGCCATAACAACCCTCCGGAAAACCTTCCTATCCTGAGCAAGATGTCCTGCGTATGATACACCCATCTGGAGATCATCTGCCACATCCTGCACCCATCTTCTCCTTGGCCTTCCTCTTCCTCTCTTCCCAGGCATATACCCCTCCATTATTGTTCTCTCTAGACTTCCATGACGTTTAGGAACATAGCTTACAAAATTACAGGCAAATTGAGTGTTATATAAACTTTGTTTTGTGGGAAGATACTTACTGTTTTGAGAGTCAGTTTTCTTTACCAAATAATGGTGCTCTGTTATGATGCTTCAAAAGATTTTCCCACAGGACTCAAAGAGTTTAGAAACACAAAAACAGATAGTCTGGCAATGAAATTTGTTGACTGTATCAAAGTATCAGTTAGTGACTGACATCATGTACAATTTTCTGTGAATGTATTTTGTGGAATGTGCTGTCAAGTCAGATATCATGTTTGTTAGTGTGGGCAGAGAGGGATATGTTGGAAAGCAGAGCTAGAACCAACTCAGTTTGTCACAAGAAATTGAAGTTCAGCTATAATACAGCACAAATAATAATTACAACAGATTACAGCTGTATTGCTTCACACAAATATGGTAACACAAATACAGGAAAGTATATACTTTTTTGTTTGTTATGAAAGAAACTGTTAAGTCTTGCAAGTTATCTTTTGAGCTAAGATCAGTTTATGAGCATTAAGTTGAGAGAAATGTTGACATTGTATTAACAATAGTTTCTGGTACTGTCTCCTCTGTGGAGGTTGGCTGCTGTGACTATTTTCTCTTTGTGGGAACGTTTGTGATAAAACAGCAACCTCTGTGATGATGTGGCTCTGATAGCACTGTCTGAAAGCCATGACAATGGTTTCTTTCTAAAGACCTGCCATGGAAATTGAACCCTGGTACATTCAATATTATGATTTATGTTCACTAACCTCTGAGCTAGAATAGCACACAATGATATAGCTGTTATATTACATTATATGTTTTTTTTCAAAATATTATGCAAGCCATCCCATAAGAAAAATAAATTGTAAAAGTGTGTCTTGCTTTTTATACACAGCTGTTGTATGAGAGGAACTATACATATAAGGATGATTTCATAGGGATCCATTGTACCAGCAGTGCAGGCTTCACTGCCAAGTTATAAAAAAAAAAAAGGAAGAATCTGAATTCCACAAACTCCTGGGAAAGGAAGGCACATAAAGACAGTAATGCAGGTTGTTATGGTTATGTGTATAAGCCAGAAACACATGCTTAAATTTTATTTTTGTGGGTATGTTTTCTCATTTTATACTTTAGACCAGGTAGTAGTATATTTAGACAACCCTTTGAGATTTTCAACTCCTAGGACATTTCGCGTGTGTGTGTGTGTGTGTGTGTGCGCGTGCGTGCAGTGTCATTATCCAAAAGTGTAGATATATGAACCACTACCCTAGGATTTAAAACGAAAAGGTGACATGGGAGTGGGTAACTTTTGTGAAGTTATTATTTTAAAATAAATGACACTCATTTGTACCTTGGCCTTGAAAAGTTAGAGATTTCATACCTGTAAACCACTCACTACTTATGATGAGAGGTGTGAATACAAGCAATGCTTTACATGAAATATTACATATGCTAAAAAACATTGCTGATTCTCAATGAACATTAATGAGGTTTGTGGTAAATGATTAAATGTTTTGTAAATAGTTATCTGTTTAATATGCATTAAGAAAATTGCTTCCATGTGCACTCTCTTCATTAAATGGTGTACATTTTTTTGTTTAACTCTTTCAGGACCAAATTTTTTCTGTGGTTTGGACACCATTAATTTTGAGCAGAATTTTGTTACTGCAACACGACAAAGCTAAAACCTTCCTGAAGAAAAAGTATTGGCTGTATTGGGACATATAATATATATCAGATTAAAGACACATGAGTGGAGAATAAATCTAAACTATTTAAATGTCAGTATTGCAACAAAATATTATTAGAATGCACACAACATTTCAGGATGTTAGACACATAAAGATTATTGACATAAAAAATTGTGTGCTTACCTTACCTTTTACTTGTTCAGCAACACGGCTATCCAATGCTCAGAATGCACATGCCTTCTCTGATCAATTATGTATCAGCTAGTCTTTATTTAAAACAATTAATTTAAATAGTTTGGATGTTATGATCATTCTTGTATGACGTCAAATTTCACAAATACCAAAAATGGAGAAAACGGCTCATGGAAACATTGATCTGATGGAAATATTTTGTTCAGTTTTCATATCCTAAACTAAATTATCGCCAATAGGTTTGTCACTTAGATATCAATCATAATATCAAGATTGTTGTCACTATCTGGCAGAGATTCATCGACAGAGCAGTATGAACAGTTCTAGATTTTATCCCTTATCATTTAGTACGGAAAAATCAGGTAGAAATTGTATCCTATCTAAATAATAATTAAAAAAAATAAAATTTAAAAATCATCAAATAATGCACTGACCACGATGAACTTTGCCAACGAAAGGACTTCCTGTTGTTAATCCTAATTGTTCAAAAAACTTGCTCATACAAGTACGTTTTCCCTACAAACAGAACAAAATTAGAATGTCTCTATGATACGCCAGTATACTGGCAATTAGTCAATTAGGGATAAATTCATTCGCCAGTATACTGGCGAAAAGTCTTTGAGCAAGCGATTGGCGCTCATTATATTGTGAACATCTAATAACTTTTAATAGAATAGTCAAAAATCTTCTTTTATCATTGCAGCCAATGGAAAAGGGCCTCAAACTGAGCATACACCATCATCTGGCAAATATCAAAACAGCGTTACAATTTCTGGAAAAGAAAAAAGTAAGGGAATTTGAATGTTGACTCTTCAAGAGGAGCCACATTTTGGGGGGAAAAGAATAGACCTACTGCTGCCCCCCCCACCCCCCCCCCCCTTCCACCACCACCACCACCAAGCATGTCATGAAATTTGACTTATTAGGGGTGTTTCCTTCAGAGTGCATCAGCATGAGAGGGAAGGAACCAACAAAATGCATACAAATATGCTAGATTTGTGAACACCGTTTTGGGTGCAAAACTCAAGTTCTAGAGCAAGACTGAAGTCCTGAAGTGGACGAACAACCAAAACTTTCCACCAGACTTTACTGTCGGTGAGTGTGAAGAAGAAAAAAGAAGAAGAAGAAGAATTGTTAAGGGACAAAGAATACTGACAGTTATTACTGATCAGTTCATATTTGAAAAATAATGTAGCTTTTTAGCAATATTTAAAACAATTATTAAAAAACAAATAGTATCTGTGTAGTAGGTTATATTATCTTGTTTATTTCTTGTCAGTGTCTTTCTGTTTGGGCTTTCCCTTTCCCCCAGATTAGTTTCTGTTTAACGGAGTTGAATTAAAAACCAACATCACAACACTTTGAACATTCCCAGAAACCCTCTTTCCCCATCTTTGCAGCCAGTGCAGAGTTCTTGTTCAAGTAATACCAGAGCCAGTCTGATTGTATGTTCATCACGCCTTTCCTTTGAGTGTTTAGTGTCAGCCAGATCCCTTGGGACTTCCGCTCTACCATTCTCTTTATAATCTATTTTTGCTTATGCACTGTTCACTCACTCCCAAAAGGCTTTGACCATCTCTAGCTTTTCATGCATCAGTTTACCACTTGCCTATGTTATTGTGACAATGAGAGTTTTCTTGATCATATCTAAAAAGGACAAGATGTATTTCAGTTATTTCTACAGGGGTAAAAGTGGCCTTGATAAATATATATCATATATACTGGGTCATGACTTCTTAATAAGAGGGTTGACCTATGACCTTTTTCACAACATTTCCTTCCTGGACTATTCCATGAGAATTGTGAAAATTATTTTGCACCTATTTTAAGAGACTGGGTTGACACTCAAGTTGTGCTGGTCAGAAAACAATCATGCCACAGCAAACTCTTACATTGCAGTATTTAAATGCACCATTAATGTAAACATCCGTTTACATGAGCTGCAAAATTATTGTTTTATGTACACGCCTTTCACATTTTTCTGGTGGTAAAACATCTGCTGTTTTAACAGATTAAGTTGGTGAATATAAATGCTACAAGCATTGCAGAAGGAAAACCATCCATTGTATTGGGACTTATTTGGACTATTATTCTGTACTTTCAGGTAAGTGCTAGTCACATTAGTTTCTAGTTATTGTTTACTCATGTTTATTTTTTATTTTGATGTTTTTAATGCAGACACATATTAGTTTTTAAATCGGAGAAAGATTTTTTATGTTTTGTAGAATGTTTGGCCTTAGAGAAATGAGAGGAGAGGAATTGGTTGAATGGTTTAGGGTAAAAAAAATAAAAAAAATAGACACATGCTTTTAGCAGCATCCTAGCACATTTGGATTTAGAAATTCCCAAGTAATAATTTTCTTAACAGTGCTTATATTCAGTGTTTACAGTGAAACAATGAGATCAATAAAGAAAAAATACCAGAAATTATCAATTTATGGGTGAAATGAACCTTCTTTGAAACAATAAGCAGACAAGCTGAAATACATTCACTTGCAACAGAGATGTATTTTTTTGAGAAGAATGCAAGCAAAGAATATCATTGGATGATAGGAAAAACCCAGTTGAGGCAGTCCTGTTTGAGACAGACAAAAATCTGATTAGAGAAATGAGACATAGATGGTGGTTTTTGGACATGCTGTGACAATGAATGGATTTGATAAAATGAAAAGGCAAAGGGTAAATGCCTGGATGGCTTGGCTGTATTCAGCATAGACTCTTAACCAGCTTTATTAAGTCGTCCTAACCTTTGCTATTGGGTGCAACTCACCCCATCTTTTTTCAGTTCACTGTTGATTCCTTTCTCTGTGTGTTTATCGGTTACTTTTTATTCCATTGGGCCTGTGGGTTCCAGTGTGAAGAAATTCTGGTTGTATTATTATCAGGTTTTCTCAGTGTGTTCCCTAGCTAATGCCAACATCTTTTCCTCAGATCATTATTCACTGTGATTTGTTCAGTTGTATTAGAAAGCTCTGGACGAATGATTCTACTAAACTATTTAATTCATTTAATTCTGTGCCGGCACCAATAAATAGATGCTTGTAGTTTATTAGTAAATATTTTAATTGTTCTCCATGTTTAAACCTCATACAGCAGTATTGAACTGACTGTGGAGCTAAATGTTTTAAATTTTGTAATAGTTTTAACTTCCTTTGACTTCTACAGATTCCCTAGTACTATGACATCTCTTGCCATTTTAAATGTTATTTCATTTCTCTATCGTTCCCCCCATCTTTAACTTTTTCACTGCCTAAATAGATGTATGACTCCACATCTTGGAATGAGGTGCACCAAAGGAGATTAGGATTTACTGTATACTTTGTGTAATCACTAACAGCAATCAGCCACATTATATCTGCACTGATTTTAAGTGCTGTTTCATCATTAGATTGAAGAAACATTCAATGCGGTGCCGACTGACAATGATGGAGCCCCTGTGAAGAAGACAGCCTTGCCCAGACAGAGTTTGCTGGAGTGGGTTGATAGTATCCTCTTCAAGTAAGTGTTGTTATAAACTTTTTGTTTTGCCTTTCCTGTTCTGAATAACTGAAGACACTAAATATTACAAACCATTTCTACTGGTCGAAGGGAAAAGGGCACATACTATGAAAAAATGGATACATGCTTTTTAGCAACATCCTAGCACATATACCCATTTCTCCTCCGAGCACTGTTGACAGTGAGATATCTAGAACCTGTGGAGAAAACATGCCAGTCTAGGCTTATCCTAGCCAGTCCATATTTTCTGTTCTAATATGCCTTTCCACTTATATGGTACCTTTGCCAATCTTGTGCACCCATTAATTTCTGAGCTTAGAGAGGACAAGGAGAGCACTGCAACAGTCCCCATGGTGATTGTAACTTGGTACTGAGTTGGGAGGAAAGTGATTACACCAGCCTGTGTGGGAGCAAATCATGTTCATGACCCAGGAGACCTGAATACCAGTGTATTTAAGAATTACAACTTAGTCTTTTAGATGACTGACACAACAGCAATGGATGCAATGTTTAATCGGTATATAAACGATACACGTTTGAATTCTTGTTAGTGTGGTTGTCTTAAATTTGATCTTTTACTCTCTCTCTCACTCTCTCTCTCACTCTATCTCTGTCTGTCTGTCTGTCTGTCTGTCTGTCTGTCTGTCTGTCTGTCTGTCTGTCTGTCTGTCTGTCTGTCTGTCTGTCTGTCTGTCTGTCTGTCTGTCTGTCTGTCTGTCTGTCTGTCTGTCTGTCTGTCTGTCTGTCTGTCTGTCTGTCTGTCTGTCTGTCTGTCTGTCTGTCTGTCTGTCTGTCTGTCTGTCTGTCTGTCTGTCTGTCTGTCTGTCTGTCTGTCTGTCTGTCTGTCTGTCTGTCTGTCTGTCTGTCTGTCTGTCTGTCTGTCTGTCTGTCTGTCTGTCTGTCTGTCTGTCTGTCTGTCTGTCTGTCTGTCTGTCTGTCTGTCTGTCTGTCTGTCTGTCTGTCTGTCTGTCTGTCTCTCTTTGTCTCTGTCTCTCTGTCCTGTGCATATACTCGTCTGTGTAATTGTATTTCATTATTAGGTATCAGGTCCTTTGCAGAACAACACTTGCCACAACCTGTTTAAAAAAAACCACTTGATCTGTTGCCAGTTACACCTCATGTACTTATAGGCAGTGTGTCATTACTGTTATTCTGTTACAAGATATGAAATTCTTTATTTATATAGTTCCCAAATAACAAATATAATTTAGATAGCTGTTTTATTAATTCATCTTTTTTTAATTTACTGTCTAACAGGGCATGATGATTTTTAGATAGATAGATATATTTCCATAACTATTATAGTTTTTATGTTTTATTGAATCATTATCATTTTATTTACTTTTTATCAGAAAATATGGTCTTCATGTGAAAGATTTTGGTAAGAGCTGGAATAATGGTGTGGCTTTCAATGCCATGATCCACAATGTCCGACCTGACCTAGTAGACATGGATTTAATTCGCAAACAGCAAGCAAAGATAAATCTAGAACATGCTTTCTCCACCGCTGAAAGTCATCTCGGTATTCCGAGGCTATTAGATCCTGAAGGTATGATTTATTATTCTTTTACCCAATTCTGCTCAGATCTATTTGGACAATAAAACAGTAAGTAGAAATTGCATCCACAGTTTAAAATAAAAGCCATAGAGTTATAACATATTTTGTGTTGTATTAGGGACTCCCTATATTTTCTCTGGGTTTTTCTATTTTCAAAGCATTTCCCAAGTTTTAATATCCTACAAAGCAGAAACAATTTAGAACCAAAGTTTATTTTATCTTTCTCTAGATGGGCTGAAATCCAGGTGAAACTGGTACCATCTACCTAAAGCTAGAGGGTGTTTGAAAGTGTCAGTGACTCCTTCCCTTGATAGTAAATAATTTTCATCTTTCTTTATTTATCTATGTCTCTAATTCTCTTTTCAAGCATTTTAGGACTCAACTTCTTGTGAGATCATAAGAAAGATTTCACTAGTTAAACTACTAAAAATTGTTCTCATTGTGTATCCTACTCTCCCCTTATGGGTTTGGGGCCAAATTATGGGGAAAATTAGATTAGACTCACTGCTGCCTAATATATATGCAAGTTAATAGAGTCGACTAATTAGGGTTTTCTTTCAAAGTCAGAGTGCATCTGCCTGAGAGGCATGAAGCCAACAGTCTGCACACAGAATAGCCAGATCTGTAAAACAGATGTGCATGCAACACTGAAGTTATGGAAAAGACTGAAGTCCAGAAGTGGACGAACAACCAGAATGTTCCCCTACAGTTTACAGAAGAAGAAGAAAGAAATATCCTACTCAGCACTACAATTTCTCTCTCACCAGTTTCATTTTGTAGAATTTATTCTTCCCTCCCCCCGCCCCTTCCCCCCGTGATAATGTATCTAAAATTCTGCAATTGATGACCTATTGTGGGAATACAGGAAAGCAGAAACTTCTATGCCAAAAAGTTACATTTTGACCAGGAAAATGTCCCGAGAAAATATCTGACAGAATATTGCTAAACTTGGAGTGAGGAATTACATGACCAGCACAAATTGTCTAAAAAAAACTTTTAACCAAAAAAAAAAAACAACAAAACAACCTTCTGTCAGATTTCATGCTGACACATGATTAATTGCTCATTTAAAAAAAATAAAAAAATGCTGCTTGAATAAAATTATGTTACTTTACATGAATAAATCTCTGTTGGCAATTTCTGGTCTTTTCCATGATTTTAAATATTACAACTTAAGGGGAATGTTACATAAAACAATTTATTTACTATTAGCTCAAATTTTTTTCGTCGTCCTAATGTTAATGTCTTAAGTTGTATTAAAATGTAAACACTTGATAATAATGTCCTTATACCATCACCATAGGTCTAAAGGCTTCATTGCTGGATGTGGAAGTTCATCTCTTAGGGTTCTGTTACATTACCTTGATCATTTCCATTGCAGTTTTCTGGGTTTCTTTTGGAAGATGTTTCAGAGTTTGCCGGCAGAGTATTTCCTGATGTTCTTTTAGGTCATTGGCAGATGTTCATATTGTTAGAGTTCAGTAGTGTGACACTCCATTTCAGACATTGCATTTCAGGTTTCAGTTTCAAGCATCAGCTCCCTCTCAGCACACACTTCACATTCCTGTAAAAAACGGAAACAAACTGGTGGGTGTCTGTTCCCCAGAATGGCTGGAAGGATTCTCAATAAAAGATATAGGTCTAAGAAATAATAGTTAGACATCCAGTGCACATGTTGAATATCACACATTTGAATCAATACCACACATAAAGCTATATATATTTCTAAGAATGTTTGTTTATAAAAAAATCTATTCATAATAAGATTCCATTCTGAATGTAACTACCAATCTTCTCAGACTCATATTACTGTTACATGGTAACATAATATAACCCTTGATCTGTCAGGGTCATGGAGGTGTATTGATGGAAGCACTAGCACATAAAACTCGCCATCTTTCTCTGTCTTCCGCTTGATGAATAAGTTTATGAATACTTAATCCTGTCCATTTCTAGATGTTGTCATTCCAGTTCTTCTCTGCCTCCTCATCTTCAACTACCCCCCAATGATCTTTGAAGTACAGTCTTTGCAATCTAATTATGTCTCACCACATGCCCCAACCATGCTAGATTGTGATGTTTGACCTCTGCCAAGACAGGCTCCTGATATCCTACAAATTTGTGTGTTTTGTCTCTGACATGTTTATTAGTTTTGTGTTCTAAATAGCTAATTCATTAAATGTGTCTATAGCACTTACATTCAAAAGCTTGAATCCTCCTTTTTATTTCCACAATGAGAGTCCAACTTTCACATCCATAGAAGAAAATAGACAATACCAGTGATTTGAATCTATTGACCTTAACTACGATGCTGATTTTGCTCTTTTACATGGTATTCATCTGAGATATCGCTGCTTTTGTTACATTGTAACACACACAATATATACTTTTGTGTGAGTTACACACATATCCGTATAAACTGCACAATATGCTGAAATAGAATAAAAGTATATAAATCCCAAACATCTAATTAACAACTCAACCTGTGTTATTTTTATTATAACCCAAAAAAACAAAAAGAAAAACAATTTATTCTGTGCCACAATTTTTCCTTGGGAGCCGCTATGGTGTAGTGGCTAGACTCACTTCTGCGGATTGGAAGGTTCCGATGGAGCCAGACAAACAAGCCATGACCCACTCTGTTACATCAGTTGATCTTTAGGTCCAGCAACTCTGTGTGTCCCCCAGGAGTCTATTTGTGGGTCTTTAGGCCACCCATTTTTATATTCTAACTAAATACTATTTGGCCAGGTGTCCAGACCAAGTCTGGCATCAAGATAAAGCCGATCTGACTGACTGTTTACTGTTACAGTAAGACTAGTTGTACATTTTGTCTCAGTATTGTTACATATAAAAAGTATGCCATTAATTATGTCACTGAAACTGAGTTGTCCACTGAATTTTAATATTCTTAATATTCCTGAGTCACTTTATCTCTAATAAGTGTTAGGAAAATAATTTATTTGAATACTTTTCAGATGTTGATGTGGAGAAGCCTGATGAAAAGTCTATCATGACATATGTTGCTCAGTTTCTCAAAGGTTACCCTGATAGTGGAGGAGCCAGTGTGAGTGTTAATGATACCTGCTGTTTTATGTTCTGTTGGTAAACTGACTTGAACTGATGTTGTGACTAAGGACAATTGAATAATGCAAATGATAATACAACCAGAGATAAAGTCTAAGGGTGAGGGAAAACTGATGTGCTTAGATTCTTCAGACATTGGAATCTGCCACAGTATTTCAGAATTAAATGAATACTTTCTTTTCAGATATTAACTTTTAGAATATTACAGCGTCTATCACAAAACATTCACTTAAGTACGCTTACAGTTCTTGAACTAATAAACATGAAAAGTAACATTCATGATTAACATTCATTTGGTTGTTTTCTAGTGTGTGTTTCCATGTTTATTAACTTTGGACGGGTTCTTGTTTCCTATGTTTTCTAGATTTATGTTTATGTTAGTTTTAAATGTTTTACATTCCTAATTTTTAATGAAACATAAATATTTGCTTTAAAACATGACAGTCTGGCATTGGGAATTCGTCTCTTGCAGGTACTTGAAACTTTAATAAGAAATAATAGCTGCCTCCATTGGATTCTAAGGCTTCCATAAAAAAATCTCTGGAGTGCAGATTATTTTTTTTTTTTTAAATGCATTTTTTGTCCATGACTCATAGGCAGTATTTACATTCTACTCATTTTTAAAAAAACTTCCGTACACAGTGCTCTACATCAGATAAAGCTGTTTAGATTATTCTGCCTGTCTTCTCTTTATTGTCCTCATGTACGACTCAGGCAGTAATAATAATAATAATAGACCAGTTTGTATTCATTGTGAATACAGTGGGAAAATCATACCTTTCTGAACAACTGAAGTTCAAATCACAAAACGATGGATAAAAGCTGGTGTTGGTTTGCATTGCCCTTAGTAGGACATGCAACTAACTGTAAATATTTCTCTGTTGACTTTTTCTCTTTCTGATGCTATTATTGACTCTAGATGATTGAATTTTTTTGTTAGTGTTGTCCAGTTTGTTATAGTTTTCTTTCTTGCTCCTTGATTATATGATATGTGAATGGTTGACAAATAGTTTTGCACTAGTGTTTGTTTTGATTTCCTTTTTCAAATATCTGTTTTGGACCAGATATTGGCTAACATGACTCTGCAATCCTCATTACCTTCTGATATTTTCATGAAGTTGGTATTGCTTATATTGCTTGTTGCTAGGCTGTTGAAACCTGCATACATCTTTCTCTATCTCTTGCGGCCTTCTGTATTTACCAGGAGCTGTGGCAGTACAGTGGGTTAAACACTTGACCTCCTGCTCAGTAATCTCGTCCCTTCAAGGTGGCAATGTTACCCTCACTGAACTGAGCTCCAAGGTTTATCCAGAATAGGATATTTGGGAAGTAAAAGTGGTCGGCATGATATTGACCACATCATCCATAAAGTGTTGAATTTTTCAACAAATATGAAGTGTACCTCATTTACCATTCAGCTGGAACAGTGCCATTCAGTCACTTCTTCAAGATGAAAGTCATCAAGTTTAGCTGCAGTGCCATTCAGTCACTTCTTCAAGATGAAAGTCATCAAGTTTAGCTGCAGTGCCATTCAGTCAGTTCTTCAAGATGAAAGTCATCAAGTTTAGCTGCAGTGCCATTCAGTCACTTCCTATCTTTCACTCTGGTTGTACACTGTCAAATTCAGTAGGACATCAAGTATTTAAATTCTGATGCAAACGACTTTTGAAAATGCTTTGATTAATATAATAATGTTCTTAAAGATTTAGTAGTGCGTAGTCAGTTAGAAATGGAATAATCAGTTTGTTCTGAATTAATAGATAATGCTAATTTTGTTTTGATATTGAAACAGGGCGTACCTGGTGTAGACATTGAGACGGCAGAGAAAGAGATGAAGGCTTACAGCAGTTTAATCAGCTGGCTGAATGGTGAAGCTAAGGAAGTTCTTGATGCAAGCTATGAACCAGTCACAAACAGAGAATCAGAATTCTTGGTATTTTCTTTAATCATTTCTGTGCACATTATCAGGGCATTATATGTCTAAGACAGTACACATTGTTGCCAAGAAAATTAAGGAAGAACTGTTGTTTAAGATGTCCTCTATCTAATATTGATCAGATGGACAATGGAAAATAGAACTGGGTTAACCGGTGACATAATCACAAGTGGCAGAATGAATATTATTAAATATAATATACATTACAACATTTAACCCTCAGTTGGTGTTATCCGTCATTGTCTAAAAAAATTTAAGAAAAAGAAATTGATGATGCTGAAGGATCAGTTCTTAACCAGAAGCCCACTCTAGTCACTGACAAGCAGAAACAAAGTTATCAGTGTGTATCAGCTGGTTTCAAATTCAAGAGAAGGCATAGTAACACAGATCTCACTTCTGTGTAAGATCCTAACACATCGCTACACAGAAAGCTCGCGCCACAAATTCACAGAAGGAGATGATAGATTATTTAAAAGTATTGTAGGTTTATAGTATTATAATAAATTTCTGTAGTAATTTACTACTCTTATGTTGAAGTTTAGATTGATTGTTTTGTAAAATTAAATACAATATGTTTGTTATTCACCTTTGAGGGATTATATTTTGGTCCCTAGCCCGCAGTGAAATAATATTACTATATATATATATATATATATATATATATAGAGAGAGAGAGAGAGAGAGAGACACGCATGCACACTCACACACATACACACACACACACACACACACACACACATACATACATATACATACATACACAAACATATTAAGATAATTCTGTTATCCGTCTTTTCAGTTATGCATAACAGTCCTGGGCCGGACGGTTAAATGAGTGACGGTCAATCAAAGTTGTACTTATTTTACATGATTTAATAAATTGCCACTTGTGACTGTGTTATTATAAAGTTAACCAGTTCTTTTGTCCTTCACCTGGGTACATGGACCTTATAACCATGTAATATCGCCCCGGGACTACCCCAGGGTTCTGCTATGTCACCAAGAAAAGTCTTATCTCAGAGTAGCTGCAGACACAAAGCACCTCCTGCATGAAGCCCTAGGTAGAGCTCAGGGTTGCAGACTGAAAAGAGGAAGGTCTTAGATAGTGCAGACTGAAGACACAATTAGACATGTGTGCAGGCTTGATAACGAAATAGACCAGTAGCCAGGCTACTGAAAAATACATGATACTGGAGACACACTTTATACATACTGTGTTTTTTACTGCTGATGAGAGCCAGAAAGGACACTACACCTCTGGGGGCCGCGAAGTCTGAGATCCCCTGACAGCTCTGTTAATGCTCATTTGAGACATTATCCGTGGTGCATGACGAGGACGTGCAGCAGGAGTCTTGCATGAGGTTCAGTAAAACCAGAACAGTGAAGGGCTGGCGCCCAAGTTAGGTACGGAGTATCTCCTTTATACACATCACATCGGACTTAAGTTTCTCTCACACCTGTGACAAAAATCACCATGTCATCAACCATTGACACAAATAGTCAGCCATGGAATTACATAAAAAATACATCAAACAAGACCTTTTGGGTGTACCCTGTCACAACATCTCATCCCTGTTTGAATAGTAGAGGCTCTGCGTTCACATGTCATTGCAGGAGTAAGATCCTAGGCAGCAAGTATATGACAAGGGATCTAATATGAGAACATATTCGATAAAACTGTGTTGGACATTAGGAAATTAGGGAAAACAGAACCCAGTGGAGACATGCAGATTTTTCTTTAGAATAGCTAGACCTAACGGCCATTACCTCCATGCTGAAAAACCTGGGTTTAAGGACACTTCTGTACATTGGAAAGGTTTTGTCTGAACCTGAAAACTAGACGTAGCCTCATAACACTGATGAACATCATACCACGTATGTGAATTACATTAGTTCTTGTACTAGACAATCCTTGGAAAGGGGCAATATGGAATGTCAGACTTTCTGCCATAACCATATATGGACAGGTCTTTCTTATAGGCCTATGACAAGAAACTGACCTAAGTGGGACTTGAAGGTGGGTCACAATGACTCTTGACTGGTATGTCCCTCAGGTTACAGTCTTATCTGTAGAATATCTCTGAGGAAATCATGTTAGTGACAAGTTCAGCACAAATGATGGGAAGTTGCTTGAAGAGAAGGTTTTTGGAATTTGAGCTACATCAAATAATTAGGCTGCATCCCAAATATTTAGCTAAAAATTTTGTTGGAAAGGATTAGAAAAAAAAAAATACAACAGGAAGTAAAAAAAAAGGGAAGAACAGTGTTTTTGTAAAAGGCCGGGCACATAAAAATGTCGACAGATTTTCATCTTGTTGGGAAAACTTTAGACTTTTAAAAAGCATTTAAAAAAAAAAAAATGCTTTCCCACACACAGGCAAGTTATGCTTCCTCACACATAGGCAAGTTATGCTTCCTCACACACAGGCAAGTTATGCTTCCTCACACACAGGCAAGTTATGCTTCCTCACACACAGGCAAGTTATGCTTCCTCACACACAGGCAAGTTATGCTTCCTTACACGCAGGCAAGTTATGCTTCCTCACACACAGGCAAGTTATGCTTCCTCACACACAGGCAAGTTATGCTTCCTCACACGCAGGCAAGTTATGCTTCCTCACACACAGGCAAGTTATGCTTCCTCACACACAGGCAAGTTATGCTTCCTCACACACAGGCAAGTTATGCTTCCTCACACACAGGCAAGTTATGCTTCCTCACACACAGGCAAGTTATGCTTCCTCACACACAGGCAAGTTTGAACATGATAAATAAAGGTCATTGAACCAAGTGATGTGTGTGATGAGGATGTGTAGTATCTCTAGACCTTGTTTCTCAGTTGATTGAAAAAAAAAAGTTTCCTTGTTTAGTAAAAAGGAATTTCCCTGTTTAGTACAAATGTATTTTCCTGTCAGGTGAACATTACTTTCCATTTCTAGTGATAATTTATTTTCTCTTTAGTGAAAACATAACTTGATAATCAAATGAAGCAGATATTGTAGTATCAGTTTTTATATGCTTTGAAATGTCTTGAGCATAGATGTTAGGCACACATTCCCAATAACTGAATTACACAAGACACTGCCACAAGGTGTGGTAAGAACTATACTAGCCACATTTACATTTTATTGGGAAGTATTTGACACTCATTATATTAGGGCTATGCTGACTGGATCAATAATCACGTGTCTACTATGAATCATAAATGTTGTCCCAGCATAAGCATTAAAAAAATTTTTTTTTTATTTGACATTGCAGCCCCCACCACTTTGTAACCATTGGGGGCCCTAATTGAAACTTATGGTTGAACAGTTTCTGGTATGTGACCTGGGGGATTCTCATCATTTGGCATCACAGGGTGTTAATAGCTCAGTTATGAGTTACGAGTTATGATTTGGGTTACTTCACGGCACTCCTGACATGTCCATAGGTGCTCAGATTCCCCCTATGCATCAGCGTCCTATGGTTTATAGTCCCAGTCCTATGCTGGTTGACAAGAATTCTCCGGAAATCTGGCTGTGATGTGTTACTCTTCCTGGTCTTCTGCCACACCCTGACAGCCTGCCTCTTTTCCAGTTATGCCTTCATCCCACCATGATGGCTGGGTCCATTTTTTCCATTGCTTTCATTGACAACGTTGAACCTTGCTGATGGCATCCTGTCCTGTGCTGTCTTACTGAAAAGTATTTGTTCTGTTTCTCTGGTTGCTTTTCCTGTTCTTCTCAACCAAGATACCACAAGGCAGGTGGTTGCTGTCATGGTACCAAAGTGTGTTCCATCTGCAAAGAGGAGCGATGGTGGGGGACACCAGAGCCAAGTCAACGACACTGTCAGAGTCGCCTGGTTGAGTGGTCAGTCTAGTGACATGTCCATTATTTAAGCATACCAGCTCAGCAGATATCAGAGCATCTTCCAAATCTTCCCCTCCCCCTTTTTTTGATAATAACATTACCCCACTGGCTTCCTTTGGCATTATAGTTTCCGCAGTAGATGCCATTTCTTTCCCCGGACATAAGCAAATGTTGCCACTGATGTGCACCTACCATACCGTTGCAGGCATAAGCATTCACGATTATGAGCTTGATGGGAGTCGACACTCTGACTACATGTACCTGCAGGGCATCACTGTTTAATTCAGAGATGTTGACCTCACATGCCAGCATGTTGTTGCGAACCAGGATGACCTGCCCGAGGTGACGTCGATTGTAGAAACATTGAAAACCCGTCGCTCTAACTTTCTCATCATGAGTGCATGTTTCCTGCAGGACTTCAGTGTCATTGTTGTAAAGCAGCTTTTCGACAATAGGCCGCCTATGATTAATTAGGGAACCATTCCAATACAGTATGTAAACGTATTTCATGCTCATCCTGTCACATTTTAACCAGTTCCTGCAGACGCCAGCATGCTTGGCGGCTTTTTTCCTTGTCGTATGTTTGCTATATTTGAACTTACTCTGTGGGATGCCGATAGGGGACCGGAAACTCATGCACGAACTCTGTAGCACAGTGTAGAACCCCTGCTCTGCTTAGAATCTCACATTAACTGCAAATAATTGGTAAAAGGACATTCTTCATCCTAACAAATAAAAAAAAGCGTCCTGCCATCCTGGTGCGAAATCTCACTGTGCGATCCTAGCCGGCTCATTTTCACACACTTATGAATCACTCCTCCAGACTCTAGTGTAGATGGATGAGCATACAAACTACTTTGCTACCTCAATCTTATATTCAGTCAAAAGCCTTAAGACAGATGCTACATGATACTGAATTTGAGTAGATGCACAGCTGAACGGCATGAATGATTACTTTATTTATCATGTAAACAGTAGTTTAAGAGGTAGACAAAATAACCAGAAAACTCAGTGGAGAGAAATGAAACATGTCTTTTCCTTTTACTGTGGTGAGCTTTCTAGTCATAGCATGTTTTGTGTTTAGTTACTTTTTTAATGTCTGATTTATGCTTTTCAAGAGTATAATTACTAATAGTCCAACATTTCTATTTAGGACTACCTTGGGTTTAAGACTGAATTAGAAAGGCGAGAACCATTATATCAAAAGTTGAGAGCAAAAGTGCAGTCTGGTCGATCAGTTCAAATTACTCAGCTAGAATGGGGAAATCTTGATGCTCGATGGCAAGAAGTGGACAGACAGGTATGCTTTTTTAAAATCAGATAGGAATTGAACTAAACAAGATAAAATGGAATCTTTTCATATAATTGTTTGTGCTGAGAAAACTTTCATAACAGCAAATGTAAGTCTGAGTGTTTCTTTTTGAGAAAATGAGGCTTTATGCTGCGGCATCCGTAAACTGAAGGCTGCACTGGGACTGGTGTTGACCTGAGATGGAGAACCATGACCACAGATATTTATAGATTGTGCACATGATAATGATGTATTTTTTGCTTGAATGATACAGTGTGTGGATTAGAGGATCTGAAACTTAAAAGTGTTTGACAGTCTTAATTTTTATTTTTTAAATGGTTGAGTGTTCTGCCTTTTTTAAGAAAACTAGCTCAGCATTATATGTTTGCTTGGTAAAGTGTGAAGGACACAAGTACATGATGTAAATTATATTATCATGAAATGGTTAGACTACAATACAAGGTTTTTAAAAAAAAAGTGTTTATCAGACAGTAGCAGCAGTGTTGAGTCAGGTGATACAGTTGATGATGAGTGGTTCAGATGGTATGAATGAAATCATCATTTCTCCCATTCTCCATGTGGGTTCTAGGGCTCCATTTGAGGAGGGTGGAGGGAAACAGGAACAGACCCACTGCCACCTGACAAGAATGCCGTAAAAGTGGACTATTTAGCTGTTTTATGACATCTGATGTGTTGAGCCAAAAGGTGCAAATATCACAGTCTAGCTGTAGACCTCAGCACAGCTGCCAACTGCCCTTTTAGGAGTGAACGCAGAAGAAGGAAAAAGAAATCTACCTATAACATATCTGATGACAATGATAGTCATGTAACTAGCTGAGATACTAGTGATAGCAGAGATGATTAACAGAATAACTCAAATGTGTAATGGAACACCTATTACTATTTCTTTTTTATAATTCTGATGATAATCAAACTCTTTATGCTCATATTTTGTGTGCTTGTTGTGTGTTGATGAAACAAGATCACCTGACCTTGACTAAAAACTTTTGTTTTTGCAATATCTGGATAGTCAGTTTGGCCTGCGAATTACTAGAAACATTTCATTTTCAGTTTTTAGAAATTAAGCCTTCAGCTTACAGTGTTGTTTTAGTTATTGTTCATTTGAACCAGCTGATGTGTCATGTGTGATTGCATTTCTCAGTTTAGCAGTGTATGCTAAAGGCTCCAAAACTATTCTCCGCCCCCCTCTTTTCCCTGCATACCCTGTAGCTTTAAATCCTAAGGCTTACGTCCCCCGTCTAAACCTCCCTAAAAAGTGGTACAGACAGATAGTAGTGACAGTTGACAAAGTCTCTACCAATTGTTTTAAAAATCAGATATTTAATTTAGAGGTCTCAATTCCTTACTACTATTTATTCGGTCATTCATGGATGGTGTTTAAATATCAGAATTGACAGAAGGGTGGAATACAGTTGGTCTTATTCAAGATATTATCAGCCTTTGCTTGTGTAGTGTTTTGTCTCACGACGTGCATTTGCTTGTATTTAAAATGTAAGTATGTATGGTCTCTGCGTAACAGATGTATTATGATATTTTATTATATCAGTGTACATCTAAACTTAGTTTTTTATCTACAGGTGAAATTGTGGCTTAGAAAACTGGATTCCTGTCTGCCAGGAAAGCTGGGAAAACTTGGCCACTGGATGTATGAAGCAGAGGAAATACTGTGTAAGGAAGAATCAACATCAGATAATGCAGAAGACATGGCAGCCATGTATGATAAACTTACACAAGAGCACAAGGTTGGTGTAATATTTTCTGTATGTGTAATTTCAGTTTTACTACACATCTCATCATTTTCATTCTTTCCTTTTTCTTCAGGAACAAACATCTGCTCACATAATTGTGTCATGTTACAAAGTTTGTTAGCAAGCTGTCTTTATGATGGTAGTTCTTTCACTATTATCCATTTGTAGATTACTGCTGAGCGCTCAGTTTTCCATTAGTTTAGCAGTACAAACATCAGAGAATCCATTCTTTTAGGTCAGAAAGCAGTATGTAGAAGATTTTATTGCATCTACTCTAACTCGGGTGTTGCGAGTCCGACTCGTAACTCCAACGTACCAAGATCGAAAACCACTGCTGGCTGCATGGATTTTTATCATGGTATGGGGCGTTGCAGGTCAACCCAGCCTAAAATTTGTACCGGGATGTATGTCCTGGGAATATAAAGACATCCATCGTAATTCTGACCACATTTCCCACCTTATTTGGCTAATTGGTCTAACAATATGGGTGCTCTACCCGTGTGCCTGATGGACCTAAAGGCGTGAAAAGGGATTCTTTACTTTTTTCATTTTACTTTTTATGTCACAAGAATGATATTTTGTATTGTTATAGGTAAACCCGCTTAAAATATTCTTCAGCTAAATTCTTTATCTCCCTCTCATTACAACCTGGCTTCAGGATTGTCAACATTGACAGTTCAGCCAGCAGGTTATTTCACTACAGATGAAAAAAAAATCGATAACACAAATAAGAAACATGAATATTTGTTTTTATATCCTACAAGATATGTTCTGTGATGTTATCTGTAAACCAGCATGAGATATTCTTCAGCAGAATTTGTTTTTGTGAAGGCACTGCTGTAGAAACCTGTAGTGTCATCATCATCATGTGCCATACCGATGAGAGTAGGCGATTGTGATGTGCTGACTCACATTTTCATCGCTCTTGGATCAGATTCTAGCCTTCTCCTGGCTCACCACTCTTGGATCAGATTCTAGCCTTCTCCTGGCTCACCACTCTTGGATCAGATTCTAGCCTTCTCCTGGCTCACCGCTCTTGGATCAGATTCTAGCCTTCTACTGGCTCACAGCTCTTGGATCAGATTCTAGCCTTCTCCTGGCTCACCACTCTTGGATCAGATTCTAGCCTTCTCCTGGCTCTCTGCTCTTGGATCAGATTCTAGCCTTTTCCTGGCTCACCGCTCTTGGATCAGATTCTAGCCTTTTCCTGGCTCACCGCTCTTGGATCAGATTCTAGCCTTCTCCTGGCTCACCACTCTTGGATCAGATTCTAGCCTTTTCCTGGCTCACCGCTCTTGGATCAGATTCTAGCCTTCTCCTGGCTCACCACTCTTGGATCAGATTCTAGCCTTTTCCTGGCCTCTTTTCATATAGTTTTCTAGTTGTCACTAAGTTTCAAATTAGTTTCATCACATAGCCTCTCCAAAACATATCTAGACCGTCTACATCTAATGTCTCTAATCTGTTTAATCAGTTCATAGTTTTTATCTGTTTCTTGAAGAAGTTCCGCATTTGTTTTTTGTTCTTATGTATCCTTTACATTTTCTTTAGAAACCAGTTTTGCTGCCAGTGTATTTTGTCTCCTTATTGTTCATGTTTCAAATGTACTCAGTTATACATGTTCTGTGTATCATTGCAGTCTATATTATTTCTATAGGTGTTTTTTTCTATGTTGCTAATGGCTACTTATGCCATAGCGATCCTTTTCTAGTTGTTAGTTGACAGAACCTCTTCACTGCACATCGGACCGTTCAGACCATAAGGGCTCAGATCCCCTTAGTACATCCTGCAGCACTAGCAGCAGACTATATTCATATTCCCTCACCCATTCTGTGTTGTTTTGAATTTATTCTTCTTCTTTGCCTTAAAGCATTGTGCTTTTGTCTCTGTGTTCCTGAGCAAACTAATTGAGTCAGGTTCTTGTTGTAATCTTTATTACTCATATTATGTCAGATGTTATTGCTATTTAATTGTGCTGATTCGTGTATTTCAAAATGTTCCTGTTTACGTACATTGTGTCATTTTCTTTCTTTTTGAAGATCATCATTTGTCTAACAGCATACATCTAAGCCTAGTTCTCACTGTACAATTATTACAGATACTGAATGATGTAGATCCTGTAATTTATAATCGATACTGTATCCTCTACATATTTATATTGTTGATGTTTTTCCTTTCACAGTGATTCCCCTCTTCTTTTAAATCTCCTGAGTAATAAAATATCATCCATTCAGATAAATTGTCACAGCATAGTCAAGAGAGGTCACCAGATAGTTTTTTTCATTAAAAAAAAAAAGCGCATATAGAACGCAGCAATGCGGGTCATTCTGGGTTGCACCAGAGACACCCCAGTGGTGTGTATGCGATACATCATTGGTTTGCCGACTGTTGCAGGTAAGCACAAGGTGCTGCAGGCGAAGTCATATCTCAGGGTAGCTGCAGACACAGACCACCCTTTGCACAAAGCTCTGGGTGCAGTTAAGGGTCAGCGGCTGATAAGAGGGAAGTGATGGATGGCTCAGGCAGAAGACACAATCAGACAGGTTTGCATCCTTGAGAACATTAGATGAGGAGAGGGTCAATGTGCCACCTGAACAGTCAGACTTGTGTAGGGTCATATTCACACTGAGCCGGGAATGCAGACTGGCCAGCAGGTGCCACAGAGGTGGAAATTCAGCAGTTAATTCAAGATAATGCTTGCTCAGAAGATTTGATCATTTACACAGACGGTTCAGTGTCAAGAGGCAAAAGAAGTGCTTGGGGCTTCTTAGCAAAAGTTAATGGTCGACGTTTAGTGCAGGAAAGCCTAGCATATGATACCACAACATCCAGCATAAGAATGGAGGTGGAGGCGGTCACTGCAGCTTTCCGCTGGCTAGAGAACATGACACACACACACATCATGATTGTAACTGACTCAGAAAGCATGCTGAGGAAGATCAGGACAGGCATGCTTAGTGCAGAGTGGCATGCCTTGCTGCGGAGGACACATGTGAGGAGTATTGTCTTTATTTTTTCATCAGGGCATGCCGGTGTGTTCGGAAATGAACAGGCGGACAGACTGGTTGGCTCTGCACAGCTTGGTGGAATACTGATACATGATAAGGCAGACATGGTTAGTGCCTTGTGGGAGAGCTTGTACAGTTGGGAGGAGCAGATAGATCACCACAGTGTGGTGAGATTGATGCAGTTGGGAGTGACGATGCTCAAGGCTCAGAGGAACGGCAAGACAGACCTTTAATCAGAATGCTACTGGCACTATTAGTATCGGAGCTCTTCGCTGTCTACTGAAGATGGGGACGGAGCGCTTATGGGAATGCCCCGAGTGCTGTGATGTCGGTTCTTGATTCAAATCAAATCATTCAAAATATTCCTAAAAAATGAAGAAATATGCCAAGTAATGATTTTGGGAACTTGCTTCACCCATGTGCAGCACCTATATGAAACATTTTTATTCTGCTCATTCATTTGTCCTGCTTGTTAAATTGTTAAGCAGTAAAACAATATATTTATATTACAAAAACTTTTATGCAATTGTGCTACACAGGAATTCTTCAAAGACTTGGAAGAGTGGAGTCACTTTTTTGCCCAGATCAAAAGAGCGGGACGTTATGAAGGTCTGATGTTGCATGGACCACATATTGATCACCTGTCCAAACGACTTGAATCGATCTCTTTATGCTCAGCTCTCCGTCTGAACAAGCTGGAGTACAATCACTTGAGGTATGATAATGTGACTTAACTTTCACTAATCTGTCTTCTTTACTCTAGTCCTGTTCTGGCTTTCAGTCAGGTTTTGAAGATACATCTAGTGTGAGCCTTTGTGTCTGCTTGCGAGGCCAACTCTAACTCTTCTCAGAAGGATGTAAGGTTTGAAAAGGTTAATTGCGTATCCTTTACAGGACGTTCCAGAACCAACCCCATCAGCCCCTGGCTGTTGTGTGGTTTCACTAGGCAAATTTACGTCCAGTAGTTTGCCATTGCTTTCTGGACGGTCGGCTCCCTGATACCACTGTTGAAACCAATGCAAGGCGTATGGCCCGCAGTTGGGATCGAACCCAATACCCCGGCATTACGAAGCGTTTGCATCGACTTAGCCACAGAGCCCACAAGGTTTGAATAGGAAATTTTAAAGTAATCTACTTACAGTTAGTTCGGAAGAATTGGGTCCCACATTAAATCAGATTAAAAATAAATAAATAACTGACCTTGACTCTCTGGTCAGATAAATCCTTAAGTGGGTAACAGGCAGTGTCCTGAGAAGTAAAGGTGGATGACGTGATTTTAACCAATTATTTAATGAGTGCCATTTGGTCTATAGAAATTTGATCTACCATTGGTGCGAAAAAAAAGGTGATTTACTTCTACCTGTTACATATTGTAGATAATTAAGCTAATGCTAGGTAGATGGTTGATAACACTAACTAATTAGGCATAAATATCCATTATTTAAACAGAAAAGGCTCTGTGTATACACCAGTTATAGTCTGGATGTGTTAAACAGGATATTGTTAGCTTCATTACACTTCTACTACTATTACCACTTGATTATAGTCTGCAAAATAGAGCAGTAGCATGCAATCAATGGTGTAGGGTAAAGAGAGAGGGATAGTACCTCACGGTGAGTGGCAGCCATATCCGTATGGATAGTCCAGGATCCTATTTGGTTCTCATCTCTTTACCTAGCTCATGTATGGCTCCACGAATACTGCTTGTGTACGGCGGTGGCCACACCACGGGCTACAGTCTTGGCTGACTGGCTAAACTACATGAGTGAAGTGGGAGTAATATCCTACTAAGGGAGATGTCCATCCCTAGTACACAAAGACTGGGACGGTAAGCAAGGCGGAAGAATTTTATTTTATAGATCAACGGCTTGCAAAGCGAAACAGCAAAGTGTGTGGCACACAGTAGGCGTGTTGGGACACGAAGGAAAACATGGAAAAGATTGGGACCTTACCACGTAGCACCCAAAGACAGTAATGGAAGCACAACAAGTTAGAAAAAGTGATGCAGGCACATCTTGGCCCCCTGGAGTAATGCCTGTTGTAAATACAAACAGGGAAGAGACAAATCCTCTGTTGACTAGGGTAGAGCATAATGACGAGTGCGCCTTAAATTCTTCTGAAAGTGCACATTCTGACAACGCATATCTGAAAAGTAGAAAGAGATGTCTTCGTGTTGGCACATGGAATGTTAGAACGTTATATCAAGTTGGAAAATTTGACTGTTTAATTTCTGAGGCAAAGAATATGAATTTAGATATTTTGGGAGTATCAGAAACAAGATGGACAGAAGCTAGCTGCCTAAAGAGAGATGATTACATATTTATTAATTCTGGAGGAGAACATCATGAACGTGGAGTAGGATTCTTGATAAAAAGAAATTTAGAGAAGTTTATTAGCGGGTTCTGGGCTCACAATGACAGAATTAAATTGATCAAGATCAAGGCAAGACCTTTTGATATTGCAATAATACAGACATATGCACCAACAACTGACTACAGTGATATACAGCTTGAAGAATATTATGAAGAACTACAACAAACACTGAAAGTTGTAAAATCATCAGAGGTCTTAATAGTTATGGGAGACCTGAATGCAAAAGTGGGAAAAAAGAAGCACAAAAATATTGTAGGGCAATTTAGCATGGGATCAAGGAATGACAGAGGAGACAGATTGATACAGTTTTGCGAAGAGAACCAACTCATTATCTGTAATACATTTTTTCAACATCCACCTAGAAAACTGTTTACGTGGAAGAGTCCAGGAGATATAAATAGAAACCAAATTGACTATGTAATGATTAGAGACAGATTCAAAAACAACATAAAGAACGCCAAAACATACCCAGGTGCGGATATAAATTCAGATCACAACCCTGTGGTAATAAAAATGCAAATTAAACAGTAAAAACAGTGGTACTCGAGAGGCCATAATTTGTCTAAAGATGCTGACTGAAAAATATATAGAAGTTCAGAAAAATATTTATGCATGTTTTATAGATTACATAAAAGCTTTCGACAGAGTGCAACATGAACAACTAATTGCAGCTCTTCAAAACATAGGACTAGATGGAAAGAATATCAGTCTTATTAGAAACTTATACTGGGAGCAAGAAGCAACAGTAAGATATGACAACATCTGCTCACCCCAGATAGAGATCAAGAGAGGAGTAAGACAAGAATGTGTGCTGTCGCCTAGCCTTTTCAACTTATGTACAGAAACCATTTTTAAAGAAATTGTAGAATTACCAGGACTGTACATCAATGGTAGAATAATAAACAATCTGAGATATGCTGATGACACAGTGTTGCTAGCAGAGAGTGAGCAGGAGTTGCAAGACCTAGTGGAAGGAGTGCAGAATTTGGATTAGATATAAATTTGAAAAAGACAAAAACCATGATATTTAGCAAAGATAATAATCAGCTAACAATGAATATCACAGTGAACAGGGTGAAATTGGAACGAGTTAAAAATTTCTTGTATCTTGGACAAGTAATAACATGTGACGGCAGAAGTGAAACAGAAGTCAAGAAAAGATTAGGGATGGCCAAAAACATTTTCAACAACATGCAAAAGTTACTGACATCAAGAGAAATAAGCAATGCATTAAAAATGAGAATTGTCAAATGTTATGTATTCTCAACCTTACTGTATGGCACAGAGACACGGACAAAGAACAAACAACTGGAAAATCGTATCAATTCTTTGGAGATGTGGATATACAGAAGATTAGGTCGTATTTCATGGAAACAAAAGCTATCAAATTCAGAGGTACTGTGGAAATTAGGAATGAAAAGAGAGTTACTAGGTGAAATAAAAAAGAGACAAGTGAAATATTTTGGCCACATTAAAAGACATAACAGTATTGTAAAGATCATCCTAGAGGGAAAGGTTCAAGGTAGGAGAGCAAAAGGCAGACAGCGTTACAAGTGGGAGGATAACATCAAGAGATGGATGAACAGCAGTAAGAGTGAGTGTACATCAAGGGCAAGAGACAGGGCTTGTTGGAGATCCATTACAGCCAACCTTCATTGTGGAGACGGCACCTGATTGATTGATTGATTGATGCAATCTTGCATACTGTTTAAAAATTAGAGATCGATGCTACTGGTAGCCCTGAAATTCTAGTGAAATGTGACTAAAAGCTTAACCAAACGGGGAAGCAGAAAAACATGCAAAAAAGAACACATATACTCTCCTCTTTGTTACCTCTGTGTAGTTCACTTCATGTTTGACAAAGGCTGCCAGCCAAAACGTTTTTTGTGTTGTTTTGTGCACGCTAAACAGGGTGAAGTATTTCTTGCCAAGTAGCTGGTATAGTCAGATCAAAAGAAAATTATTATAAAATTACGCTGTTGAACAGAAGATTTTACATATGAAAAAAGAATAATTACAGAGGGAGTAAAATATTTATTTTTAAAATATAAAAACATTTCAACTTTCAGATACAAATTGCTAGCCTGTATGTTGGGAGCACAGACCAAAGTTACACAGTGGACAGTGAAATATGGCAAGCAGGATGCTGTGGAATGTCTGCTGGCAGATTACAGTGATTGTATAGACAGGCAGCACATGTGTCAACATATTGACACAACTTACACTGACACAAAGAAAGTGGCAGAAAATTACAAAAATGGAGGAGCAGGTCAGTGTCAGAAAATTATAGTCTAGAATTTGTGTAAGTGAATTTGTGATGTTGGGACAAAGACAGTCCAGCTTTATGATTCCGGTTTGTCTACATAAAGTTCTTTTCATTATGAAATGTTTGAAGCTTTGCATATTATAGGACATGGTTTACTGAGTTTGATAACTAGCTGTCTCATTGCCTTTTTCCTAGTCTGTTTTTACGACTTACTTGTTTGAAACAGCATGTGCTTGCTGTGTTGTAATGTCACATATAATCATCTTGTTAATTAGATGTTTCACTGATATGTTCTGGAGTGTGTGATATGTTCAGGCTGACATAGATCTGTTCTTGCTAATTGAAAACAGTTGCCTTATTAGTGCATATATAACTAAAAGTGAACTACTGTTCTAAAAAATGATAAACTATTAACAATCATATTTATTTCACCTTAGGAATAAAATTCTGTTTTCCCCCAGATGCATCAGAGATAACTAGCATTGATAACTTTTTGCAAGAAGCTGGTGGAAAATGGAAGAAGATGTCCTTAGAGATAAAAAGTGTTAGGACCACACTGGAGGAGACATTAAAAGCATGGAAGGAATACAACTCTTGTGTGGAAAGACTGAACCTTTGGCTTGCAGAGGGAGAAAGAGTCATGAAACAAGAAATTGAAGCCAAGGAGGTAGGCCAGATCTACATAGTCACCTGTATTGTCCATCAATGCACATGTTTGTAGTTTGCTGATTTTAATGATAATTCTGAATGTAAGACACAGTATTAGATTTGCTGGCCATTGAACTCTACCAGACCGATGTACCGAGTTTTCAGTAGTTTCCAAATCTGCCGCTATACCACTGTACCTAATCTTGGGTAGTTTGCGTACTAAGTGAGAAAAATGCATTACACTTCATGGTTAGACATTGCAAATGTCTGCCCCCCTCCCCCATGTGCTTGGATTGACTTTGCATGGTTTAATGTGAAATTTTTTTGAAAATTCACAGTGAAACGAATGTCTGATGAACCAAGCACTTTAACAGGAAAATGAAGTAGGTCTAGGCTTTTCACAGTCCAACAGGTGATCAGTACTTTGGTTGATTCAGACTCTAATAAGTCAGAATTTCATCAAGAATACATTCCCAGTTCAAGTGACACACAGTGAGAGCTTGAGTGAATATTAGAATCTGGAACTTTCTAGAGCTATATCGATAATAAGAGAAGGGGGGGGGGGGGAGTGTCCCTCAAACAGCTGATGGGAGAGATCTAGCTGGTGATGAAGGTTGGAGGAGGAATTTTGTATCATCAAATACAGATCTGAATTTCAATAAGGATGGAAAAGGCCCAGTGAACATTCCTAGATCTATCACAGAGGAGGGTGAACCGATAGATTTTTAATCATTGTTTCTGGATAATGACATCAGCCCACCACCACCCACAAAAGGAACCTTACCCTCAAGGGATGACCCCAGTCAATCATTTTCCAGAGATTTGCCATGGAACATTGTTTAATCAGATATGTGTGGTGGGCATGGAAAAGCACTCCGGGTACAACAAGCAAAATCCTGGAGTGTCTTATAAAGACAATCCATGCAAAAAAGGTGAAGAGCAACATCTGGGGCTCACTTTGCTAGACGTACCTCTGTGTGAAACAAGGCTCATCCTGCTGTGTGGATTGGCACACAAAAGTGGAATATTGGCGCTAGATGAAAGGTAGACCGATTTTCTACAATGTCTCCAAGTTCCATCTTATTCTAACAACTTGTTTACAACTAACATTTGTCTATACCATGCTGGTTTTTTTTCTCTTTAATGGTCAGCAGCCTCAGGTCTGGGAGAGTTCATTTTGCCATATAGCCTTAAATTGTGTTCAAGATTGTTGCATTGCTGTTTCTTATTCCACTTTTAAATAGTTACCTAAATTGATACCGTAAGCAGACATAAACATTAAAACTGGTATTTTTGGTATAGAAGACATTTAAATTGATAATAAATGTATGAGCCACTTTTGCATGATTGTGACATTGAAACAGCTGTCCTGTTCTACAAAAAATAGCAGCCTGCTGTCACTCACTTGTGATTGTCTGTCTGTCTGTAGGGAAACCTATAATGAATAATTATAAGAAAAAGAATTACTTAAAAGAAGAGTTGTATTAGTTATTAATTTGTAGAACAGTTAGTCTGGTAATAAAAATGAATAATTTCATTTGGTCCTCCACTTTATCCATTATTTACATCCCTAGGTTTTCTTCAAGGATCTTGCCCAGTATGGTGAGAAATGTAAAGTGCTCAACGAATCTGCAAATTTCCTGGTTGATGTCTGTACAGAAGTAACTGCTACAGAAGTCCGACAGACAGTTGCCTCTCTCAACCAGCGGTTCAATTCTCTGGTTGAAGGTTTTCAATCTTTTCATGAGACAGAGGTTATAGGAAAAGTGCGAGCCAAGTATGAGAAAGGGGTCGTCAGTTTAAAAGGCCAGTTGAATGATTCCATTGCATTACTGAGTAAAAGGATCAGATGTGTCCATGCTGAGCTGAAAGACTATCTTATAGCATTGGATGTAAGTTATTTTGTCAGTAACGCTATTTACTCTTTGCATTTTTGAGAAAACTGTTTCAAGTATGTATGTTCATTTTAAGTGGTGCTGTGTAAATTAATGTTGGCATAATTACATTATAAATGTTGGGTTTCATGTAAATTGTGATTTCATATCTTTATGTCACATTCATTCCAGTTCATATTTCTCTCAAGGAGAGTCTAGTCAAGACATCCCACTTAAGGGTGATCTCTTGCCATAAACTTGAAATGCAGGCATGTGAATATTAAAACCAGAAGAACACCGTTCAACACAATATTCTTACCATCGCTGTGCTTTCAGTTTGCATGGTGTTGTTCCTATAGTCTGTCTGATAATATCATTTCTAACTTTGTCTCGGGTGGTTAAGTTGGCGGCTTTTTTCAAGCATCTTATTTCACAGGTTTTAATTTTACGTAGGCTAGCCTTCGATAATGTCTGGCACCGGTAGCACAGTGTTGGTATGAAAATGCTGTTTATAATCTGTTTCTTGGCGCTTATACTTATGTTTGTATGTCTTAATAACGGTGTCAGTTGGTATAAAGTGCACTGGCTCGTTGGCATCTTGTTTCTATTTCCTGATCTATTCTTTCATCCTCTGAGAACATACTTCCTAGATATTTGAATTCTTTAACTTGCTTCAGACAAGTATCATTCAACCTGATATGTAGTGGACTAGGAATTCTGTTTGCCTGCATGACTTCAGTGTTAGTAGTATTTATTGTTATGTGAAATCTTCTGCATGTTGATCTTGGCCTGTTCAAATGGTCTTGCAGGCTACTCCTCTCATGAAACACAGTCAGAAAATATTTCAGTAAGGATTCCAAATATCTCTTAAAGCGTTAGTTTCCACACAAATAATATTGTTTGATCCAGATGGCTTTCCTTTCTTCATGTAGTGTAATGCATTCTCAACTTCAGCAGCAAGTATACACCATTGTCTTGAATATTTAAATTCAGCCTCTTATCATCATTAATCTATTCTGTGTATTGTGTTCATTCATTTTTTTAAATTACGTTAATATTATGCAATCCTGTGATTTTAAACAGTGTTGATTAGTGCTTTCCTAGCTCTTAATCCTTTCTTCCTGATGACCTATAAAAAAAACAATACCAAAGCCCCATAATTTTTAATGTTTGGGGTTCCGGGAAAATTATTCAATTATTCAGAGAATCAGCTGAGTTACATTTTTCTGAGGTTAAATACATCTAATTGGACGACTAATGTTTGACACTGTGACCCAGGCGCTGGAGTCTACTGCCATTGGAGACTACTGCCACTAAGGTGAAATTGTGATGTCATATATCTACTGAAAAATACGCCTTTTTCAATAAAGCTGAAAAAGAGAACTGAAAAACAATTGTTATGAGGTTGAAGCTTGTGATCTTGGCAGGTTTCCTTTCAGATAAGCTGAAATTTCAGTTGTTTTCATGAGACATATTTTTGTTTCAGTTTCAGGATCTTAAACTCCTCCCCTTTAGATCAGTTTTATTGGTTTATCATGAAAATAAATGTTATATTAGTTTGCTTGAAATATTGAAAAGGAACATATTTGTTACTAATAAAATATACTCCTGTAAACATTCAGTAGAACAGTTTTATTCATGGCATCACTTCCTTGTTAAACTATTGTATTTTTGGCATTTCAGCAATGCAGCGCCGAAGTTCAGGAAGCAGAAAACAATTTTAAAGTGACAACTGAATTGGCAAAGTCACTGGTTAAAGACAGTTCTGATGAAGATGTCAAGGACATGTTAGCGACACTGAATTCACAAAAAGAGGCATGTAAATTATTTGTCATGCAAGTTACGTTAAACTATTTTTCTAAAACAAGTGCGGGACGTCCTAGTCTTCTGCAGTCAAAGAAAATAACAAACACTGTGATGAGAAGGCTGCCTTATGTGCCTCTGGGTACGATGAGGATTGATTGATGAGAAGAAAAGCTCTAAACAGTGATATGGTATCAGTTAAGGCTACAGCAGTCCTGCAGGATTTCTAAAGTAAACTATATTAAAGAGTTGTGAAATATGACATAATACAGGCTTCATGCCTGACAATCCTGCACAGGAAGTACTACTTACCATCATGTATGAAATTGACAGTCTGTACCAGTGTTTCCCAGCATGGGGCTCACACCTCACAGGGGGAAGAGGGGGCAGTTTAATTGTTAAAGGGTTTAATGTGAAAATAGACTTGTCTAGAGTTTAAGTTACATAGAGGGCAAAACAATTTTAAAAGGCTTAGGTGGGGCATGGCACACACAAAAAAAGGGTTGGGAAACACTGGTCTATACAGAGTTATACAAATAATGTATCATGGAAATTGGTTGTCTTCAATATTTCACCTATTAAATATTTGATTTGATTTGTTTCAAGAACCGACATCACAGCACTCGGGGCATTCCTATAAGCGCTCCATCCCCATCTTCAGCAGCCAGCAAAGAGTTCAGATACTAATGGTGCCAGTAGCATTCTGATTGTAGCATTCTGATTAAACGTGAGTCTTACCTTTCCTCTGAGCCTCGAGCATCTACCAGACTGTGCTGATCCATCTGCTCCTTGGAACTGTATACGCTCTCCCACAAGGCACTAACCACGTCTGCCTTATCATGTATCAGTATTCCACCAAGTTGTACAGAGCCAGCCAGTCTGTCCGACTGTTCATTCCCCAACACACCGGCATGCCCCTGTAAAAAAAAATCCAGACTATACTCCTCACCCGTGTCCTTAGCAGCAAAGTATGCCACTCTGCATGAAGCATACCTGTCCTGATCTTCCTCAGCATGCTTTCTGAATCAGTTACAATCACGATGTGTATATGTGTCTTGTTCTCTAGCCAGTGGAAAGCTGCAGTGACCGCCTCCACCTCCATTCTTAAGCTTGATGTTGTGGTATCATATGCTAGGCTTTCCTGCACCAAAGGTCGACCATTAACTTTTGCTTAGAAGCCCCAAGCACTTCTTTTTGCCTCTTGACACTGAACCGTCTGTGTAAATGATTATTAAATATTTGAATAGTGTCTATTACTATGTTGTTAGCCTTTTGGTCTAGCTTAACCATCAATGCACTGTTGCCTATTGTAAAGAGCCATATCTTCCCTGATGTGATTCCATCCACTGTGGCAGCAAACCCCTTTGCCAGACACACCAGATTAGAAGATAAAATACTGATAGAAACCCAGTGCATCAGCACAGTAAACACTCTGTTTGGCTGGAGCAAACCAGAACTTTGCTATGCTATCTATTTTTGGTGATCTTCCAGGGTGGCAATGACATCTCAGACTCCCCAAAATTACACCTACATTCATCGCTACATAGTACTGAACTATAGTGGATGAGCAAGTCCACTGCAGTAAAAGTCTAACATGCAAAAGAAGCAAAGTACTCATTTTGTGGTGTAGGTAAATGAAATCCCAGGTCTTCAGGCTGCATACTGTTGGCTACAAAAGAGATAGCCCATGATATATGAGATGTTCAGTATATGGAAGTGAGGTGAAACAGTAATGAGCAGGACGTGACGATTCCTTGGGTGAGCCCAGTACCAGAGCACATGTATTAGCTCTGCATTTTTGGAAGCCTCCTTGGATGGCGGGGAATGCTCATGTTCTGCCCCTGCCTTCTCTTGAGGGCTGATCAGCATTATGTGTCCTCTCTGGACCAGCCTGATTGGGGCACCACCTGTGACTTGGGAAATAAAGATTACTACACAACAATGAGACTGCCATGTCCCCAGAAACTAACCAGGAAGGCTAACCTGGTCAACAAATGCCCGCAGAAGCCGGATATGTTGGCCGAAAGGTGCAAATATCGCAGCCATGCTGTAAACAGACACAACGCAATTACATCGTCGGATGAATGTAGAAGAAGTACTGGACAACAGTGCAGACACTCAAGTGTTTTGGTCTTTAACATCAGGGTGATTTTATAGAAAATAAGTACAATATGAATTTAAGTTCTAGAAGAACAGTTTAATATCTTTCTATTTGGTTAAGCTTTGTAGTCATAGCTCAATGCATTAATTTAATATTAGCTTGCCTGCAGTCACCCCTGTTTTCATCACACAATCTAAGTATGTATGCAGAATGAATAATAATGAATGAATGTTGAATGAATTGACTTCACAGCACTCGGGACACCCTCATAAGCACTCCATCTCAACTTCAACAGCAGACGAAGCGTTCCAATTCTGATAGCACCAGTAACTGCCTGATTGTATATCTTTCTCACCATTTCCCTGAATTTTGAACGCCAGCCAGATCTCCTTGTATCTCCTCACAGAGCCATTCTCCCCAGACCATAATGATCTATCTGTTCCTCCGCATTGCTCCCAAAGAGCCCTCACAACATCCAGCTTGTCATACATCAGTTCACCACCAAACGGTGCAGAACCGGCCAATCTATCTGCCTGCTCATTTACTAACACACCTGCATTACCTGGAGAAAATGCCCAAAGAGTGCTAACTACATCTAAAGTGATGCTTCCCACTCTGCGCGGAGCATGCCTGTCTCCACTTTTCTTTGCATGCTCTGCAAGTCAGTTACAATCACGTCATGTGTGTACAGCTGATTCTCAAGCCAATGGAAGGCAGCAGTGACTGTCTCCACCTCCATTCCCAAACTAGATGTGATATCATATGACAGGCTTTGCTGCACCAAGTGATATCCATTCACTTTTGTTATGATTCCCCATGCACTTCCTCTGCCCCTCAACACAGAGTCATCTGTATAGATAATCACATCACCTGGGCACGAATTGTCATGAATCATTTCTTGAACCTCTGATTCTGCAGCACCATCTAGCCAGTCCCTGCACTCATACCTAAAGTGATAAAAACCCTACACAAGTCTGAAACTTGTTAGGACATTTTGACCCACTCCTCTTTTCACTGTAATTTATTTAGCCTGCACACATGTCCAATTTTGTCTTCTGCTTGCCCCATCCAAGACCTTCCTCTTTTCAGTCTGTGACCCTTAGCTCTCCCTAGGGCTTCATGCAGGAGGTGCTTCTTGTATGCAGAAATAGAGTTCAGTGTTACAAAAGGCGCTGAAAGAAAAGTAGACGGCAAATGTGCACAAGGAAGGCAACTTTACAGCTGTTTATAAGCATAAAGAGATGGACTGCATTAAGCAAAGTATACAGTGGGATACAGAAAGAAAACAACGTGATTTTTGCTGCTGTAGTTTCCAACTATTTTGACTTGCTGAGCCATTTTAGAATCAGTGTCTGTGGTGGAGCTACTAAGACCTACTGTTCCTATTTTTTACAAGATAATGGTGTTTAGAAGTCTTGTTAAGGAGCGAAGGAAGAAGGGGTAGATACTGAGTGAATATTAAGCAGAGATATCTAAACACTTGCACAATGTCTATGCAATTAAATATATTTGAACTTTTTTGGCCTCAAGAAGTAGCAAAAACCGATACTTCTGGTTGGGTCCAGTTTCCCTTAAATCTCCCTTTCCGACTTGTCTATAGTGACCTGTTTACGAGATGCATGGTTAATGCTATAGACTGTTTTATTGCCTCTGCAAATGTTTAGGAGGTCAAGTTATGAATACATTGACTAAAAGTAGAAATTATGAGTTTTTCCTTCAAACCAGACAGGTTTATTAAAGCCACGTGCCTCACGTGGAGGTCATGACATGAGCCACCCAGTACACATGTTTTTTTTTAATAAGGCCCTCTGGAATGTATTCCATTTAATGCTTCACCCTGTTCCATTACTCTCCACATATATTTTTACATATCTCACAACCCCCCCTCCGCCCTTCCTCGGGCCACAGAAAAATGATTTTTTTTTTTTTAAAGGTAGATAAATAAATGCTTTGATGAATTTATTAGGGACCTGTCTAAAATTTTGTTGTTGAGGATGTCTTTATAAAATTCCAGATGGGCCATAACATTTTTAATTTAGTGTTTCCAGTGTGAGAGGGTTGGAAACTTTAAAATCAAGTAAACACATTTTTCTCATCTACCACAAGTACATGTGATATTGCTAAGCTAAAACTTGACCATTTTCTTTCTGGAGAAGTCGCAGAGCCCTTTGGCTATGAAGAGCACTAGTTAAGAGCCACTTCTTTACGTGAAGTTGTCACTAGATGATAATAATGAGCTTAAAAAAAACTACAAAATTAATGTGAATTGGTAACTGTCTGCAGTCAGAAGTTAAATTCTGCTAACAATAGTATACAATGAGCTAGAGTTACAGTTAACATAACTACACCCCAGCATTTTCTCAGAGGGACATGAATGTAATACTGTTGATTCTACCAAATCATTGTAACAGTGGTAGGATAATAAATATAACAGCTTTACATACAATGTTTAAAAAGTGAAGTGCACCAATTTTCATGCCATTTTCATATTTATGTTAGATGATGTGTTAAACATAAGGCTGACTGCTTTTACTTCCCATGTAACTTCTTGGTACCCATTTTAGGTTTGGTTGATCTGGCAGCTTGATCAGTTATGAAAATTTGAACCAAGAGCATCCAAAATGTACACTACTATCTAGCCACTCTCTCAGGCACTGTTAAACTTTTCACATAGTATGGGCTATGTGCATTGTTTTCTGTCCACAGCATCTCTGTTTGTAAGAGCAAAGTAAATGTGGCAGCTCAGGCAGCTTTACAGGGAGTTTTTTTAAAAACACATTATGTTCCATTTGTTTTTTAAAATGATTTTGTAAACACATCCACAGGTTATAATACAGTTGAAAAAAGAAATTCCACAGAAAATCAAAAATGTGAAAGCTGTCTTGCCAAATGTGGCAGCTGTGGAAACTGGGATACTTGACCTAGAGACCTGGTTGACAGAAGGAGAACAGCTCATCAAGTGCTATAAGACTGATGGATCACCTGAGGAAACAGACAATCGACTACATAGGCATAAGGTAGGCAGTTTGAGATCATTTATAGTATACGATTTCATTGTTTTAAGTAGATTCAGTTGTAATTTCAAGTAATACTTTAGCATCTTTAGTTATACTCTAGAAGAAATTGAAAATGTCACACACTTTTAATATCTAGACTATAATAAATAGCAGTGGAGACTGTTTGACAGAAATTAAAAGGATGATGGCTATAGCAATGCAAAGATTGAACAGCCTCAAAAGTCTTTGGTTAAGCACCAGCAAGGAGATCAAAATAAGAATTTTGAGAGCATGCATCTTCCCTGTAGCAACATATGGATGTGAATTGTGGACTATCTTCCAGTTGTTAGGAAAGAGAATAGGGGCTTTTGAGCTGAAATGCTATAGAAAGATTCTCAGAATATCTTGGACAAAGAAGAGGAGAAATACTGACATCTTGAAAGATCTGAACATCAAGGAAGATTGGCTAATAAACAGCATCCTTTCTCGGAAGCTGAAATATTTTGGTCATATCAAGCGACACGACGGATTGGAAAAAAATTACAGCAGAAGGCATGGTACCAGGAAAGAGGTGCAGGGGCCAACCGACACGAAGATAGGCACAGGATATAAGTGACTCCTTGAGTATGAATGTACATGAGGCAGGAGAGCTGGCAAGAGACTGAGTTTCTTTCAGGCAGACTGGTGAGAATGACATTCTTCAAAAGACCTGCTACATAATGATGATGATGACTTTATCATAATTTTCTTAGGTTATTTCAGTATTGCCTTGGGAATAACACAATAAATTATGACTAAAAGAAAACATTTTTCTCAGCAGTTTTTTTCTGTAGCTATTTATGGTTTTATAACATGTTTGTACATGTTCATCAGATGTATAAATTTGTTTATTTAAGCATTGGAATGTTGAATTAAGAATCAACATCACTGCACTTGAGGCACTCCCATAAACACTCTGACCCCATCTTCAGCAGTAAGCGAAGAGTTCCAGTTCCAATGGCACCAGTAACTGTCTTATTCTATATCCATTTTGTCTTTCCCTTGAGTGTTGAGCGTCGGCCAGATCCCCTGCCGCACCGTTCTTCTCAGACTGTAATGATCTCTATTTGTGCCTCTGCACTATTCAACATAGAATAAATAAATATGCAATGTATTAAATGTGACTGCCTTGCTCTTGCTGACAGTTTGATCTAATTACTCTCTAATAATGTTCATTGTTCATCCCGCAGGCATTCTTCACCAAAACAACTTACCAGACATCTATCCTTGAAAGTAAGAACAATGTCTTCAAGCAAATCTGCAACACAAAAGACAAATTAAAGAACATAGATTTTACACCAGTTGAGAATTTGATGACTTCTGCAAATGAAAAATTCCAGGTAAATATGACAATTTTAGTTTGGTCTTCGATTTTAGCATTCAAATGTTGCACACCAGAATAGGAAATTTGTAGTCAGTCAGTTGTTTTGTGAGGTATCCGTTATGAAATGAATCCAGTAAATGAAACCCACCCCCCTCTCTCTCCCCCCTCCCAGTTTTTGTTCAGATCATGATACGTGTGTTGTTATGTGGTGTGGAAACCATATGTTGAGACCAATGGGCACTCAGTAACTGATATTGTCAGTATATAGCTGACTGCCTTCGCTTCTAGAAAATTTCCCGGGTCTCATTCAAGGCTGGTTCAACCAAGAGATCGATTGAATTGAAAATTCCCACCTTGAATAAGAGTTAAACATGTTACTAATACACCATCAGGCAAGTGTGTTAGTCACTGTGCTATCATATCTTGCATACTTGGGTAAAGTTATTATTAAAATAACACAACACTATTACTTTGGGAATGGTGTTTCAATGGAAATTAAAACATACAACTCTGTAGTTAATCAGTGTTATTAACGGCAGTGTGCATTTCTTGTGTCATTCTGTTCTGTTTTCTGTGTGAACAAAAAATTGCTACATTACTGGTTTTATAGTTTGAAAAAAAATTTTTTTTTTGTGTTTTAATTTTTTCCCCTGCAAGCAGTATGCTCTAGTGCTGCTTTAAATAAATTTCAGCTCTGGTTTGTGTTCTTATTGTGTACATTGTTTGATTTCCTAGTCCCATATTTGTTGTACAGTTGTTAAAGTAAATTTGGTTGTTGTGTTTTTCTTAACTGTTGTGCTTCTGGGAACAACATTTATTTTGTTATGTTATATTGCATTCTAACATTGGTATAAACAGGTTTGTACTCTCCAGGTTTTGTAACATTTAGATTTATTGTTCTAACTTCACACTGTGTGTTTTAGTGTCGGTAAAAGAAAACAACTATCACTATATCAGTGTTTTTGTTTTGATTTTAATTATTAAAACTAAAACTAAATCCATACATGGTATGCCAGGAATATTAGTTGGTGGGTATATTGTTACCAAGCTGCGGTATGCTGAGGATATAGTTTTGATCGGTGAAAATGAAACACAGCTGCAAGAAATAAAGGTAAAGTCAGGAGATGTGAACCAGCGTCTTGCCTACGGTTATAAACCATAAGTGCTGTGCCACCAGTACGGAGAGCTGAAAAGAAACTGTCCGCCTGTATCACCCTCCGCTTTGCAACTCCTTAGCTACAGCGACGTTCTTCTATTTACCTCAGAGTGTTAACTCTGGTATCCATTACCTAGAGGTTGGGTGAACCCCAGGAACTGCCCAGTTTTGAACACTGGCCATGCGCTGTAGCGAGTCACAGCTGTATTTGAAAGCCAGTCTCCTATCGACTGCGCTAACACAGCCAAATACAAGAAATGATGGACATAATTGTAACAGAAAGTCAAAACAAGGGTCTCAGTTTGAACAGCAGAAAAACATAAGTAATGGTAATTTTAAAGAAAACTGACCCTCCTAAATGCAACACCATAGTAAATGAGACAAACCTCAAGCAAGTTGATATGTTTAAGCATTTGGGTGCCCTGATACTTAGACAGATTATCAGAAGAGGCAGCTTCAAAGCAGTCGACCCAGAAAATCCTGAAAATGGAAAACTTTACTTTCTGGAGAAAGAATTAGATCCACATACAATAAATGAGCTACTATTTGCAGACGATTAGTGCCTATTCTACAATGAGGGTAGTAGAATGCAAGAACATTTGAACAGGCTAAGTTCAACATGCAGAATATATTTCATGAAAGTAAATACTGCTAAAACTTAAGTAATGCAGGTAAACAGAATTCCTAGTCCACTACATATCGGGTGGAATTGTACTTGTCTAAAGCAAGTTAAAGAATATTTAATATCTAGGAAGTATGTTCTCGGAGGGTGGAAGAATAGATTGTGAAATAGAAACAAGATGTCGTTGAGCCAGAGCACTTATATACCAACGGAAACCATCAATAAGACATCCAAACATGAGTTTGGACTCCAATAAACAGGTTATAAACAGTATATTTATACTAACACTGTGCTATAAGTGCCAGACTTGAATATTATTAAAGGCTAACCTACGTAAAATAAACACCTATGAAATGAAATTCCGCCAGTTTAACCATCCTGTAGTCGTCTTTGTGGCTAAGTCGATGCGAACGCTTCGTAATGCCAGTATGCCGGGTTTGATCCCAGCTGCGAGCCATGCACCTTGCGCTGGTTTCGACAGTGGTATCAAGAAAGCCGACCGTCCAGAAAACAATGGTAAACTACTGGACGTAAATTTGCCTAGAAAAACCACACAACAGTCAGGGGCTGTTGGGGTTGGTTGTGCAACGTTCTGTAAAGGATACGCAACTAACCTTAACCATCCAGTACAGAATTATAAATGAAATTATCAGACAAACTGTAGGAACAACACTGTGCAGCAAATTCATTGAGATGGTTTGATCATTTAGTGAGAATGCAGCTAAAACAACTGTCAATGCAGGCACTACATATGAAAGATCTGAAATTAAAGCAAGAGGCCGCCCTAGGAGAACATGGATTGCTGACATTAAAGAGCTTCTACATGACAGAGAATGACAGTAGCTGTTGCTGACCATGATGATCATGATGATCAGGATAATAACATCAGATTGAAGATGTATTAAAGAAGTAAAATGTAGATTAGCTTAAAGAAAAAAAAAAATGCATCAATTTACAAAATGAGAACATTTTTGCAAACTTTCATTATTTTTTGGGATGAGAAAAATAATGTTTAAAACTATATAAATTCTTTCCTGATATATAGAAGTGTATCATGGACAGTTGGTAGATTGGTGAAATATTATTTGGAGACTGCTGGGATGTGGTTTTATATAGGAATTATGAGAATACCCTGGACAGATAAAAAAGAGTATTGACAGAAACTGACTCACGAAGAGAACTGATTGCCCACATCAGAAAATGACAGTATACATTCTCTGGTCATGTCATGAGAAGGAGAAAACTGGAGTACTTCGTAACAGTAGGAAAGTTGGAGGGGAAGAGAGGAAGACCGAGAGAAAAAATGCTGAACAGTTTGACATCATGACAGAAAGGATAATCTGTGTCATAGTTGATTGAATGTACACAGGACAGAAAGTTGTGAATAGACATGACTACCAATGTCACACAGCATGGACATAGTGATTCAATGAGTATGATCCGGAGGGTTCAGGCAGGTTTAGTGCTAGAGAAATGGCTTGAATCAATACAGAAGTCCACAAAGAGTTGACAGGTTGGCTGGATTCCCTGAACCTATGGATCATGTTGATATTATTAATACCCTCTGAGAAATGGGGGCTGTGAATCCACATCACGTGCCAGAATGACTTGGGAATTAAGATCAGCATAGCCACACAAAAAAAAAAAAAAAAAACGAAACGCACACCAGACACATCAGAGGAGTTGTTAATTAACAAAGAACTGGTACAATCAGCCACGGACACTAGGGTTCATACTGAAGGGAGGATCTGAGCATCTATGGACATGTCTGGAGTGCAATAATGATAACCCGACTAATTGACTGACTGACTGACCGACTGGCTGACTGACTGACTGACTTACTAACTAGCTAGACTAGACTAAACCAAGCAACCAACGACCGAACAAACCAGCCGCCAACCAACCAACCAACCAACCAACCAACCAGCCAGCCAACCAACCAACCAACCAAGCAACCAGCCAATGGCTTTGACTTATTATTAGTAAAAGTGAGACTAGTTTTGCTGTGCATGTTTTACTTTCAGTAAAAGTAACAATAATGTTACTGTGTAAGTTTTTTATTGGGAAAAAAAATACCTTTTCAATATTTTGAGGTGGAAATGTGTATCGCTTTAGCCTGACATTTTTACAAATTGGCATGTGGTGGGTGATATTTGATTATTACCAGTACTCTTACATTTATATCTTTTTTTTTGTTTTGTTTTTGTTTTGTTTATGTGTCAGTTAAGAAGGAGTTCCCACATTATTTTTGTATCAGAGGCATGCGTTTTTGTTTTATCTGACCGATTTGTTAACCATTGTATCTGATGTGTTTTTAGTGTACCTTTTGTGTGTGTGTTGAATGCCTTTGTCATAAGCTGTTTTGCATGTGTGTATTTAACACCAGTACAGCAGTTGAATACATTGGCTTTAAGCTACGATGATACTTTAGAATATGTCACTGGTGTTATCTCCCCCTTCCACCACCACACCCCCCCCCCCCCCCCCATAGTATTTAATGGGTAATGGTAATTTAATGATATTTCTAATGTATTTTTGTTTTTAATCACACTTTTTGAACCACTGATACCTCATATCAACAGATTATTGTCACAAGTGCAAAGGAAGTGGAGCGCAAACTTGAATGTCTGTCTAGATTATGGCTCTAATGTATTTTTGTTTTTAATCACACTTTTTGAACCACTGATACCTCATATCAACAGATTATTGTCACAAGTGCAAAGGAAGTGGAGCGCAAACTTGAATGTCTGTCTAGATTATGGCTCTAATGTATTTTTGTTTTTAATCACACTTTTTGAACCACTGATACCTCATATCAACAGATTATTGTTACAAGTGCAAAGGAAGTGGAGCGCAAACTTGAATGTCTGTCTAGATTATGGCTCTAAAGTATTTTTGTTTTTAATCACACTTTTTGAACCACTGATACCTCATATCAACAGATTATTGTCACAAGTGCAAAGGAAGTGGAGCGCAAACTTGAATGTCTGTCTAGATTATGGCGATCCTTACAGCAGAAACAACAAAAACTGGAAGACTGGTTGGATACAGCCGAAAACATTCTGGATGAAAGTCAAGGAGATCCAGAAAACCTCATCAGCAAACATAAGGTGACGTGTATTATGTAAAATTACTTAGCATTATTGCTCCCGCCTCTGCCAGTATTCTGTCCCTTCCCCACTAACAGAAGCAGTGTGCACAATATTTACTTGGTTTGTGTAACATTCAACTGATAATTGTGTGTGCATTAAATAATAGATTTTTGGAGGATCAACAAAAGCCATTACATTTGTATAAGAAAGGAGAACAGTAACAAAAAAAGTATAGTTACAGATTACATATTCATACAACGTAGGGAATAATAGAACATGGTGAAGTGCTTGGGATCATATATGTTGAAAATGGAATATTTTGTGTTGTTTGAGACTGTTAAAATGTTGCAGGACTGTAAAGAGTTAGCAGCTGTACATTCACATTGACATGTCAGAGCTGCATCAGTGGTAATTCTAATCCTTTCCTATGCAATCGAATCATATTATCATCATAAAGTGCATTACCGACTGAAGAATAAGTGGACCTTATCTCTTCTTTTTTCCCCCCCTCTCCTTAACCTCATGTGGCCTAGCCAGGTAAGTTGGTACCCAGTGCAAAACATCATACCCCTCCCCCCCCCCCACATTCAGACACAGTAATTATGTGTATAATTAAAAAAAATGTTCCCATAACCCCCCCCCCCCCTCACAACGCACACAGTGATGACACCAGGGGTGGTAGCCTCCCCCCCCCACCCCCCACGAATAAAGATAACACCTGAGGTGCCTTTCTGCTAACTTCCTTCCCCTGTATCTCTCCTCTTCTTTCTTTCTTTCTCTTTCCCTTTCTTTTTCCCCCTGTCTCAGTGCAGACTTTCTTTTCTTAGTCTCTTTTTTTCTCTTGCTCTCTCCTCTTCTCCTGTCTTTCCCTTTCCCTCTCAATCCTCTACCCCCCCCCACTCCAAACTATTCTTTCTGTAATGTCAGAAATGAAACAGAAGCCCACTGGTATATGAGCTATTTTCATAATGAGGCATTAACTATTGTTGTTTATGGGAATCAGGTCAGCCCGACCTTGGCCTCCAGGTCTGCCCAGCCTTGAATAAATAATAAATGGAACTATAGCAGCCACACGTAGAGAGCCAAACATGGGTAGGGAGCGCCGGCTGGTCAGCTCGACCACAGCCACATTCACATTAGTAAACGTGAGGTCCCTTAGATTTATGAATTCTGTTTTTGGCAGTTAGTGTTCTAACAAACCATCTCTACCTGCCTGTCCCTCTTTCCTCACTCTGTCTCCCTCTCTGTCTTTCACACTGTCTCTCCCACTCTGTCTCAGCATCAGTCCTCCTCTCTCTCTCTGTATGAATCCCCCCAGGTCTAGAACAGACAGGACTTCAATTTGCTACCCTCTGCCACAAAGTCTAGAAACAAGTAAAAACACTATATCTGTGCTGGTATACCCACATGTGTGTGCAGGAATAAAGTACCGTGTTTGCTTGTTGCTGGTAACACCCTTGAATAAGGCAAAAATACCTTTCCTGAGTATTACCCTAACACACTTTGAAAACAAAAAAATGAACACCACCTTGAAAAGCCTTGATAAGAGAAAAATTATATTACATTAATTAAGATAGAAGTAAGTGTGAGAAAGCCGTCAGTAGACTGACATCATGTCATGAAAAAATAACACCAAGTGAAGATTTCAGGATGAGGAGAAATATATTCTTTACAAGGCACTTGATAATGATGATAGTATGTTTTTGATTTCCTGGTATAAAGATGATAGTTTATAAGTCTCAGTTTTTGGCTCTCCTTACAGATCCGGACGAGGGTTGGATGCGGGCTGGACGACTTAGTTCAGTTTAGTGGGAGTTCTCTCCCTTGGCCACACTCGAAACGGTGAGCGGAAAAGTCACAAAACAAATGACATACTTACCTATCATCATACGGTTGCGTTTAAGGTTGCGTACGGTTGCGTTTAGGGTTGCGTAGTCATCATACGGTTGCTTGTAGGGTTGTGTAGTCATCATACGGTTGCCTGAAGGGTTGCGTAGTCCATCATGCTGTTGCGTGTAGGGCTGCGTAGGGTTTGGGTTAGGGGTGTTGGTTAGGGGTAAGGTTAGGGTTAGGGTTAGGGTTAGGCTTAGGGGTAGGGTTAGGGGTTAGGTTTAGCGTTAGATGTGACAATTTTGACGACGCAGGAATTCCCAATAATCGCGCACTGTCACAAACACACCCAAACAGTCGACGGACTGTGGATGCTGCTGACACGGACACGTCGCCACCGGTTGGGCACCAGCTGCGCGCTATTGCGGTCATATTTGACAGACTTCCAGTGGCGCCACTCCCACAAGCATCAGATTTTCGGCCAGTATTTGGAACTCCTACATCAAAATTGTCACATCTAAGCCTACCCCTAACCCTAACCCCTAACCCTAACCCTAACACTAACCCTAACCCTACCCCTAAACCCTAACCCCGAACCCACATCGTACGCAGCCCTACACGCAACCGTATGATGATAGGTATAACCCTACACACAGCCGTATGATGACTAGATAACCCTTCGTGCAACCGTATGATGACTACGCAACCCTAACAGCAACCGTACGCAACCTTACACACAACCGTATGATGATAGGTAAGTATGTCATTTGTTTCGTGACTTTTCCGCTCACTGTTTCTAGTGCGGCCAAGGGAGAGAACTCCCACTCAACTGAACTAAGTCGTCCAACCCTCGTCCGGATCTGCAAGGAGAGCCCAGTTTTCAATTCTGGGCAGAAGCAGACAAGAACATGTGCATGGCAAGTTGGTTATTGAAATTATTATTGCAGTGGCACGAAACAGTTTTTTAAGAAATAGAAAATACTGATATTCTACAGTTTTGTACAATTACAGAAATATTCTTTGACCAGTCACATTTTACAGTTCTGAAATTTTAACCATTAAAAAAAAAAAAAAACTGATGAGGAAGTGTTTATAGATGCTATTCTACAGTTTAAACAAAAAGGTCCCTATAGAATAACTACATGTAATGTCTTGGAAGAAAGCATTAAAGCAAAAAAAAAAAAAAAAAGGGATTGAGATCAATACAAAAGAGAAGGCTGATTCTAAACATTTGGTATAAAAGCCCACAAAAAAAAGCCCTAGAAGACAGGCTAATAAGTGGGTGGCTCTGGAAAGCTCACAATTTACAAAATTTCAGCAATAACTTGTCTTTCAGCTGCTTCTAAAATCTGAGATATTGTGGATAGTTTTCAACTTCTTCCTTATAATGAAAATAGTTAATAAGTGTTTAATTCTTCATTATTTTTCTTTACTCAAAAAACAGATATTCTTTGACAATACAGACCCTCATCTGATGTCAGACTATGAAACAAATGCCAGTGAGCTCTTGCAGCAGATGAATGTAGCTGAACGCAAGCTGCTTTCAGAGACTTTAGGCCACTTGAAAGAGAGATGGGAGGTTTGTTAGCAAAGTGAAATTAGATTATATTCTCTAAGGGAAAAAGGAAAAGACCTGTCTGCCCCCAACAAGCATACTGTAAAAGGCAACTAAGTATGGGTCTCTTGAAATCAGATGTGTTAGGCGCATCTATCATAGCCTAGCTGTAGCTACAGTTACCTTTCCTGTGGGAAAGGACCCCCCCCCCCCCCCTCCCCCCGGTCTTTGCATCTCAAATGCAGAAGAAGAAGAAGAAATTAGCAGTAATAATCTGTTTTATTAGGGAAAGAGATGAAATTCCACATAGTTCACAAGATCAACTCATAAAATTAACTGTTTCTTTAATTGTGTAAGAGACATGCATCGGTTACTGCTGTATGCAGATGAAACTAGGCAGAACTGAAAGAAAAATTTAACAAACAGTCTTTGCTCATGTACTCTATTTTGAGTTTCTTTGTTCTAAGCATTAGCAGACAGACAGCAAAAAAAAAAAAAAGTTAGTCCGAATCTGTGTCAGTCCATCGGGAAAGACGAGAATTTTTAGTGACTGAACTGTTTGAATTTACAGTAGCAGAAATACAGATAGAGCTGGAGTCATCAAAATTATGCACTACATGGTTTCAAATCATCGGTTCATCAAGACAACTGATCAATTTATTGCCGTTTTGATGGCGCTTCATTGTCGCTGCTCTCTGATTGCAACGATGAGGACATGGGACAGGCAAACAGCTTTTTTTGGACACGCCGGTTTCAGCAATCAATACAGATGGCCTAGTTAAATCTTCTTGTTCACTGTCAGAAGTACACATTTCAAAGTCTTCTTCTCTATCACTTGACAGAAACTCCATCAATTCTTCATCAACTTTAACAAGTTTTCTTGCCATTTTGTACTAAGTGTAGAATAATCCAAAAGCACAATAATATATCAGGGCACAAAATACACAGATCACCGACCAAGCTGTCACGGTGAACAAAGCAACGGGATAACGCAGAATGCAGTAAACACACCTTAAACACACCTAAAAGCAGTGCTTTTAATCATATGTAAATGGGTCAGTTTAATCTAAATATAGCTAATGTATATTGCCCTTCAGCCAATAAAATACGAGGTAACAGAAATCTGTAAGAAAAGTCCAAAAACGGCTTGTGACGTCCATAGCACTGGGGGTCAAGAAAAAAAATAACGTCCAAAGACGGGCATAGCAGCGTACGGGAAATCAGGAAAAGACGTCCATAGCAGCGAAAGTAATGAGACTGATTTTATTATGGCTAAGACAAAAATGCCATCTATGAAGCAAAGCACGGAATCTAACGAGGCAACATTCTTCTATGATCTGGCAACTTTTTATCACCGCTTGATAAGCAGACAATAAACAAACCACCATTTTGTTGACCTAGTCAGATGTGTATTGTTATGAAATCGGCTAACATTAAATTCTTTTTAAAACTCAGAAAAAGCGCGATTGAAACAGTCGAATTAACGCAACAAGTTTATGAGTATAATTGTTTATCTCATGCACACATTTTCAGGTGGTATTTACGATCTAAAAGTGGTGTGGAAATGATTACTAATGCACCTAGACTTGGACTCCAAATTTCTGTTCGTAACAATGAACTAAACTCATTGCAAAATTTAGAGAACACATACAAAAAGATCATTGTTTTACTGTGAGGGTGATGGCAGATGAATCGCTGCTAACAGAGAGACCATTCATAAGATTTCAGTGCAAGATTTTGACCCCAAAAAAATTGCAGGCCGGTTTGTACCACATTCGTTGTCTGATGACCAAAAACATCAGCAGGTTGAGTACCCAAGAGAAATCATAAAAAAACAAGAATGTTTGGCCCAGAAACACGCTCTCTCTCTCTCTCTCTCTCTCTCTCTCTCTCTCTCTCTCTCTCTCTCTCTCTCTCTCTCTCTCTCTCTCTCTCTCTCTCTCTCTCTCTCTCTCTCTCTCACACACACACGCACACACACACACACAGAGAGAGAGAGAGAGAGAGAGAGAGAGAGAGAGAGAGAGAGAGAGAGAGAGAGAGAGAGAGAGAGAGAGAGAGAGAGAGAGGACGGGACGGGACGGGACGGGGACGGGACGGGACAGACATATATATATATATATATATATTGTAATAGCATTGTAATATATATGAACAACACAGTTGCTTCAATCCTAGTATCGAATGGATATTTCATTGTTAAATGTTTATTCCAGCATGTTCTACACCATGCCCCTGTCAAGTTGTTCAAACTGGAATTTGTTATTCCTGAGAATAAGTTTGAGCAGTTCATGGAGATGGCAGAGACAGCATTGCAGCAACAACGTGATCAACTCAAACAAAACAGGGATGTTAACAGAAGCCCTGCAAAAACATCAAGTATGTTGTAAACAGTTTGCTGATTTGAGTTTTTTTTTTTTATATGTGTGTATTTTATCATCTAAGACAGTTTAAATGGAAGCAATACCTGTTTTAAAAAACAAACATTTTACTGTAAAACACACACACAAATCACACCTGTGCACGCATGCACACATACATATTGTAACTTTTATGCATATTTGAGAAAACATTTTGTAAAAATCTGATTTATTGTTACAGTTTGCCTGTGCATTATGGTTAATTTAAACTAACTTTCTGTGTTGCATGTGGGTTTAAATCCCTACACTCTAGATACAGTTGGGAAATCTTGGACAATTGCTTATTTTCATATTGTTAACAAATAAAACCATTGCATATTGAAGAAAACAGCCACAGCATGCTTGTGCAATAAACATATATCTGTAAATGTTATCCCCAGAAATAGGGAAGAGATACATGGATGTCTAGAGAAAAATAATATTGAATAGCCAATCAGCATATGTCGCCTGCCTGATGCTTCCATTTTGGCAAATATATAATAACCATGTTGAAATGTTTTAACTATATTGTTGATTTAACTGGCACTGACACAACCACTTGAAATATGTAAACACTATTGAAATAGGATTTTACAAACTAATTGCACATTGTATGTTACAACTATCGGAGTGTGTACAAAGCTTGGTGCCCTGGTACTATCTGCCACAGCGAGCCACACTAAAACGTTACAACGGGTATAAAGCGAGTGGAAGACCTCGGAAAAGATGGAGTGATGGCATTAAGAACAGCCTTACAGAAATGAACATCAGTCTTAATAGTGCTCTTGACAGAGCTCATCAACGAACATTACATCTCCCCCCGACACTTCGATGAGGTACAAGGTGGAAGAGAAGAAGAAGAAGAAGAAGAAGAAGTACAAAGCTTGGTAGGTAGTGGGGTGGGAATAGTATGATGTTACACACCAGCCGACTCTGTAGGAAGAAGTATTTGCACCATTAGATAAGCTTAATGTCTACAGTGGGGTGGTGTTACTTCTTCTTCTTCTCTTCCACCTTGTACCTCATCAAAGCGTCGGGGGGGGGGGGGGGGGGATGTAACATTCACATTCATGGGAGGGAGGGAGGGAGGGAGGGAGGGAGGGAGGGAGGGAGGGAGGGAGGGAGGGAGGGAGGGAGTGAGTGAGTGAGTGAGTGAGTGAGTGAGTGAGTGAGTGAGTGAGTGAGTGAGTGAGTGAGTGAGTGAGTGAGTGAGTGAGTGAGTGAGTGAGTGAGTGATTGATTGATTGATTGATTGATTGATTGAGAGACAAAATATTTACCATCTGGAGTTCACCTAGAAGGTCTTCACATCAGCTTGATTTGGAATGCTGACCATTAGTCACCACAGACACACAAGAAAGAACTGAACACTTCAGCTGTGTAAAGCTGCTAATGTGGCATTGCCTTCCATCACTGATTACTTTAAATGCCCCTGTACCTGCTTTGCTTCTTTAACATGTCCCTGACAAGCCTACTTAATGGTATCAGTTCTGTTTGAACCTGCACAGTGATCCGGAGGGCTCAATATGATTATATTTACAATAAATAGCATTCAGAGAGATTTTCTTGTGAAACAAGTCATTGTTCTCAGTTCTCAAGCTATTAGGGCCTCACAATTTGCCTGTAGATTTAGTGGCAACAAACTGATAAGGTCACAAGGTCACAGTATAAGTCATCCATTTCTTCTTTAGGCTGAAGAGAATGTGTTCCATTTAACTCTCAGCTCTTGCACTTGTATATATTTCTATTTTAAAAAAAAAAATTGTTTGGGTACACTACCAGGTTCTGGGCATGTTTTCCCTAAGGGTTTTTTGTGGTGTGAAAGGGTAAAAGGGAAATGTTTATTTTAATTTGAGAGGAATTTCTCGATTGCCCTGATATCATTAATAAGTGCATAAGAGTAGCTTTGTAATGTCAGAAAATGACGCCACTTGGTACTAATAAAGGGGAAACATGTTATAGCTGTTAGGATAAGTGGTATGGGATATATGATATTTTTGCCCACTTGATGTGCCTTGTAAAAGAATGACTTTTGATCAGTTGAAAAACCTATTTGTAACATTTAATCTGTTTCCCTAGCAAATGTTTCATGAAGGCAACTTGGTACCATCCTGTGAGCAGTGGCTCGATGACATGAATAATTTGGCTCAGTGCCTGTTAAAACTGAGCAAAGATGAACAGTCTTTGGAGCTACGGCACAAGAACCATTTGGAGAGATGGATGAAACTGAGAGTCATTGCAAATGAGATCTTTGTGGAGCTAAAGCAGCTGCCAGAACGCTGGAATGAATACCATGACAGGTAAATGATGCTGTTTATAAGAACTTTAGTGTATTTGCCTAATAGAGCATAAAAATGTTTTAATCTTTGTTCATCTTCTGTTCCATTTGTGCACAAATATACTTCTGATTGTTTTATAGGTGGCACAGTTTTCTAGAGCTATTGCATCTGCCAGTAATTGAAAAGTGTGGTATCTGAACCCAGTTATACTTGGACTATATGTAATAAAGAGCCCACAGATTGAAACAACTGAAACCGAATTAGCTGGTCAAATATCTAGCTTTATCGATGTGGGAATCAATAAAAGGCATTGGGTATATGTTGTCTGCATGTACATGTTGGTACC